CTCTATGGTAGTGTTAACTCGATCGGCCTCACTTTCGACCCCTCTTTTGCCCTCCCCCTTTTCGGACATCTCTGGATCCGCCCCCGGTGCGTTTATTGTGAAAATAGCATCTGAAATTTTACTTCTTCCGAATGGTCAGATGTCCATGGTCAGTAATGGCTTATGTGCAAGGTCATTGTCACTTTGGACTCAAAAAATGTGCCACTTGGTCTCGAATTACAGGGGTCTCAGTATCAGAAGTGACCTACAGTTATATATGGTTTGTGGTGTAGGCCCTGTCTCTTATACACATCTAGATGTGTATAAGAGACAGTATATATACACTGCAAAGAAGTCCTTATGTAAATTATAAGCCTTGAACAGAATAACGGCCAGCATATTCCCACAACCAGGCCTTATAAATGAAAGAATAATATAAGCTGCCATGACGACAGTTAATGCATGGATAATTATTGCTTGTTATTAGCTAATAATACCATAATCGCTAGGCCCTCGCTAGGCCGATTTTCTCCGTTCAATAGCATGTTTGTCATTGAGGCTGTGGCTTCGACCAAAATTCTGAATGTCGTTTAATGTGGTACCGTAGTAATCGATCAATAATAGCCTATTGGACGCCGTGGTTGATGCATACCAGATAGGCCTACGACCCTCTGATCTTCGACGACCCATACTAAACCCGAACCCCATTGAATTATTAGTTAAAGCGATTTCTAATTTCACAAGGAAAATAAGTTTATTATAATTTCAGTTGAAAACTATCCCAGATATCGGAGCCAATTGAGGAACTATAAATTGCACTTCCTGAATTTTCAATTGAGAGCTACACAAATTATAATTTGTCTAAATAGGCCTATATTTTGAATTGATTTGTACTAACAAAATATACAATCAATTGAAAATATCGAATATTTAATTATAGCTCAAAATACAGTAGGCCTACAGTACAGTAAGCCTTCCCCATGAATCAAACGGGCTCTCAAATTACATAAGTCCTGGTGGTGGGCGGTGGGGTTAAAGCATATGTCCTTTCAGATGACATGCTGAAGAGAAGTGCGTAGCTCCATCTGAATCATTTATGAGTTAGTATCGCTGGAATGAAGGGTTTTCACCAGTGGGCCAGCCAGAGAACAGGACTCTCTCCCCTTCTTTCACATTTAATTGGGCATTGATAAGGATTTTAGCGAGTTTGGCTATAGTTTTGTCATTTTAATTAAGTTTTATGTATCTTTAATACGGTATTGTATATTCTTGATGTATATTTTTTGCTTGTGGTAAATTCATTCGTGATGTTTTTGTCCTGCCAAACAAAGCAATTTTCATGAGATTATATTTTAAAATCATGACATGTCTTGGCCTATGTCTATACCCTCATGGAAGTAAATTAGGACGCTATATAGAGTTAATAATGTTTTTGCTAGCTAACTGTAGCTCCCCCCACCTAATCACTGACCACCCCAACTTCACTTTGGCTCCCCTGCCAATCAGCCCCATCCCATTCCAGAGACTCCAGGTACGCCACTGCAGACTTGGGCTAGAGACTTCCTTCTGTAAGAAGTAAGCGGACCCTCTGGCAGATTCTGTCCGGTTTAAAAAAGTTTAAGAATAACGGGACCATGAGTTAAATCGGTCGAGACAGGGCCATTAATGAGCAGACAAGATAAGTGTTAACTCCTCCCCCTGAAGATGTTGTTCCCCCTCCCCTTTTGAAAAATTCTGGATTCGCTTATGTCCGTGCCCAACTGGCAAATCTTCCAGGGATCTCAGGCCTCTTCCGTTATGTCACTGGTTACTAGTGAGTGGCATTCAAACTATCTTTGAGAACTACAGGAAGCACTTAATTTTAATAATTATCTTAATAATTGTTCAAAAACCAAAAGAGCATATTGTGAGCAGGGGAGGATTTAGGGGATCTCCCCCTCTCCTTTTGAAAAGTAGTAAAAATAAAAGAAAAAAAAGGGAAAAAAATAGAAAGTATAAGAAAAAGAAAAAACTGATCGCCCAAAACGCCTCATTGAGGTTATTTTTGGGCGTCTAGAAAAAAAAAAAATCGCGGCAGCATGCCCCGGACCCTCTATGGTAGTGTTAACTCGATCGGCCTCACTTTCGACCCCTCTTTTGCCCTCCCCCTTTTCGGACATCTCTGGATCCGCCCCCGGTGCGTTTATTGTGAAAATAGCATCTGAAATTTTACTTCTTCCGAATGGTCAGATGTCCATGGTCAGTAATGGCTTATGTGCAAGGTCATTGTCACTTTGGACTCAAAAAATGTGCCACTTGGTCTCGAATTACAGGGGTCTCAGTATCAGAAGTGACCTACAGTTATATATGGTTTGTGGTGTAGGCCTACGCCTACTTTGAAAAAAAAATGTCTCGAATAAAAGAAATCTCATAAGAGGGGACTAAGTGTAGCTACTCTTGGATTGTTTGGGTTAGTGATTCCATAATTGTGTGCAGCTAGTCGGTCTTAATCATAATAATTAAATTAATGACCTTTAATTAATCAATTAAAGGTCAGTATTTAGGCCTATGTATGGGCTATCCACGTGTTTATTTTATTTTATTTATTTATTTTTTTTTGACGTAGGACCTTACATAGTATTACTAATATTTACTATAGTATTTATTTATAAGCTTTCTTTATATATACGCGTTGTGATAATAAAGTTTTATCGTATCGTATCTACTGATAAAGGACAACTAGCGACCTACGACCACTATAAAATAACAGTATGGCTAAATTCCAACAAAATGATTCCTTACAACACCAAATCTATTTAAAACATCATGTTAATTAACGGGCATGTTGCTCAATGAAGTAGATAATGCAATTTAATTTGACCTATAGTCTAGCCCTAGGGTTAAAACTAGTATTGCCGCGAAATGTGGATTGAGCGAGTGAGGCGGAATCCAACAATGCATACAATAATTAAAAGGGCTATATGTTCTTAACTATTCTGAAACCAACAACAATTTAAACTGAAGGCTTTTTTGTTTTGTTTTTGCTCTTTCTATATTATAGTTATTATAGCTTTTGTTCTATTTTGTGGGGAAAACCAATAGTTTTTTGTTCTCTTTTGTGAGGAAAACCCACATTTATTCAACATCGTTTTCAACATTACATTTTAATACTATAACATACTGTAATATAAAATTATAAAAACAAAATTGTAATTAATAAATGAAAAAATTGCTAGTACAGTATTTATTGAAGTAAAACGTCTGTAGATACCGTTTTCAATCTGTAATTTCTAAAAGTTGAGAACGTGATTGTTAAATGAGTAATTCAGAGTTGTTTTAATAACGTTTGAGGTTGTAATTGTTCTCATTTTTTTTCTTTTCTTTTGGTCACAAGTCGTCATTATTATATACCGCGAGGTTTACGAATCGCTATGATTCGAAATACAACAAACTGTTGATCATTTTAATATTATTTTTTGAACAATCGTTCAGACTATTTAAATTTCAGAAAAAAAGAAGACGTTTACAGATCATATTGTTCTTGATATAAAGGAAAATGATGGATTATAGGGCTATATATTTAAGATTTTAATTAAACGATGATTTTAGAGATGTTTATAAACGGTATATTGATGTTTCAATTGCAGCATGGCGGCGATATACTGTAGTTTCTTCGTGAAGGACAAATACAGTTTGTACTTTGACACCTAGTCAAGATGTACTGTACTGTACTCAAGCAACAAGGAAGTGCCATGAATTTGTGAGGTTGTGTACTTGATGTACTTATAATCCTCCATGATGAAAACAACACTGATACGCCGTACTCCGTCTCTGTTTACACGTTGGTCGCTCAATAATAGTGTTTGACCCATTCTCCATTTTGCTAACATCTGCATGATGAATATGCATATTTGTCCGGAGAACACGCGTATTCTGCCTTCTCATAGGACAAGCATTTAGCTCATTATGCTAATGACCAATCTTTTCTACCTGCTACGCGAGAAGAAAGAATCGGTGATCATTTCACTGGAAACGTTTGGAGCGATTTGGTTGATATTTTTACTTAAATTTCTACCAAAGGTTTGTAATTTCTATTGTTTTTTTCTACCTATTTTAACAGAACTTCTTACTTATAGTTATGTAACTCCCTGGTAGAACACAGATATTGAAAGTTTTGTACCGGCCAGTATTAACTAAATAAAGTAGCTTGTGATATCTCTGACGGAATTAACATTTTTGTCGAGTGCGAACACTAGGGGGCCTTCTTACACTACTACTATTATGGGCAGTGTGCTTTCTTCAAACTGACGATTGACATTGATAACTAGAATAGGCCCTTTTCAAATGACTATATTATTAGGCCTTCATCTCTGGTATTTCCCTGTAGCCTGGACTTTCGATAATATAAAGTCAAGAATTACACCCACATCACTAGGCCTAGTTGTAGTAGATTGGGGCATATAGAGGTATCAGATTATATAGGCCTAGGGTGTTCCTCTTTAGCCTTTGTTTGTGCATGTGTTCACAATTTTGGCGCGAACAGCCACACAAGGCCGTCGTGGGAGGGGGAACTCCTCACATTATGTGTGGCGATAATCCGCCTGCAGCAGCAGCATTAGCAAAACAAGGACCATACCAAAATCTCTGGTTGGGACAAGGAAGAAGAATCTCTGAGTAGGAAGTGGTCCGACTTAAATCGTAATGCCGGTTGTGAAACCTGGACGTTTTTAAACAAAAGCTTATTTTTTATGTTACAGTCTATATATAGGCCTAGGCCTATCCGGTCCCTAGGCAGTCTCTTGACCAACCAAGCAAGATGTAAAGCTTATTAATATTAAATTAGGGCTGCCTAGGCTAGGATAAATATATTATTTTTTCTATTCTCCCTATCTAGGGCCTAGGCTATATTGTACTTGTAGGTATTGTTTGAAGGCCTAGGTTGGGCGTGGGCTGTCAAGACTTTATGAACAAAAGGGTAAAAGGAAGTGGCAGCCAGTTTTTGATTTGGTCTAGCTACACACAGTTTCAGCAGTGGCTACTATTGTTAAATAATAAATAGGCTTTTTAGCACTTTAAATTTTTTTAATGCTAAACTCAACCACAATTAGTTTTATATGCAGTAGTGGTTTATAGTCGATTTTTTTTAAAATTCAATGTTAACAAAAACTTTCATTTTGAAACAATTGGAAGGCAGGGAAAAAGTTTTTTTAATAGCACAATGGTTTGCCAATCTGGATGGGGGAGAAGTTTTAAAGATTTTAAGCAAAACTCTTTGGCAGTCAACTCGCCCCTAGAAAACCCGCCCTTGGAAACTTGCCCCATAAAAAAATGTACACTTCCTAGACCATGCAGTCTTCAAAATAAAAATTTTAACCTTTGGTAATCAACTACATTTTCCACATACATAGAATTTTTTGAAACTTTATTAAAAAAAACCTAAACCATAATTCACCACTATAGACACTTTTTGACAAAAATGAAAAATTACAACTTTGTTACCCAATGAGAAGTAATATAGACAATGGGTCGTGTCTTATATTATTTGTTATATTTTTATTATTCTTTATTTTCACTTGACTCGCATTAATAATTTTGTTCGAAGAACATTTATATTCAGTTGTACTTCGCAGCACTTCACTTGCAATTTGCAATTTCTAGTATTAATAGTAATACCATGGCAAAGACATCTGGCTTTGTGAACGTCGCTCACTTGCATCTTTAATAATAATACAACTGATTTTTCATCATCAAATTCATAATGGTCTGAACAAGGTATGTGGATGTTAGATTTCAAGTACCTGATGATATTGATAATAAGAGTAAACACAATTTGAAGGTCGTTCAGGTAAATTTATAATAACATCCATAACTGTAAATTAATCTGAATCAATAATCTTTGTTCAGCTACAGTGTATGATGCCTACCAGTGTTTTTCGATAAATTTTTCGTAAACATAATGTCACTTAAAAAAGTAGTGATTTATCAAAGCCACTTTTGTTCAATAAGACTTCAAAGGCGATGCTTTTAATGTAAGTAGATGATGCTTAAAATAAACTCTTGATCCTGCTCTTGAAGCAATTAGAATATTGAGTACTTGGAAAAAAACAATATAGACCAACTAGGCTGATTATTTTTTTCTTGATCATAAGGATATGTGGAACGACGCTTGGGTTTTATCATTCCAGCTTTAATTAAATTCCCCGATATTATGCGTTTTTTTGTTTTACCTTATTTCTCGCATCGTTTTAAGATTTGGGCCATCCATGTACAGTATTACAGCAAGTTGAGGGATTTCCTAAATCTATTGCAAAAGTTAGAATTCTTAATTGAATCTTGATTTTTCATCTCCTGAACAACCCTTGCATTCAAATAGGAACAGGCTCTGAAGGCATAAACATTCTAGAAACATGTGTTACTAGTATTAAATTTATTAGTTGCCAACTAATAAATTATAATATCAAATAGTGCAAGTAGTAGTCTGTATTGTTTGCAAGACAAGATGTACAGGAAAAAAAAATTTACATTGCTCTAAGAGTAACACACTTAATTTTGAACTGTAAGAGAGTTTAGTACAATCATGTTTTTACAGGAAGAACAAGAGTTTGAATGCACCAAGCATAATTAGATAATATAACAATATGCATCTAATAAAACAAAAGCTACAGTATGGAAAATTATGGTTGGATACACTTTAAACTCAGCAATGTATAACATTTTCTTGGCCTTTTTTGTTGTCTGCACTTGAATTTCAGCTAATTAACTATTTGTCCTTTTGGTATTCCAAAATATTTGTGGTACACCACAAATATTTCTGAAAAAAACTTAATACAGTATATACTGTATTACTCTAGACAGGTCTAATAGATTAGAAATACTAGTATCAGATTTTCATTTGACAAAAACATGTGACATTCCTAAATATGGTCATAATCACAGTATATACTATAGGAACATTTGGACTATATATGGGCATATAACAGTTTTATGTCAATAAAAGTTTGATGTCTGTCTACCAGTATTTATCAGCTATTTTTACAACTATTCACCATATTCACTACATTTTGTTTATTCGCCATGCCACAACATTCAAATACTGTAATTAATATTTTTCAACATTGTGATGCAGTATGACCAGAATTTTCCTTATAAATAAATTAATGCAGTGAAAGCAATATTCGATGTTTTAGGAGAACAGTATCCGTGTTACAGATTTATTTGTAGTAGTAGTAGTTTGTGACCATTCTCTTGTTTAAATGATGAAATTGCACATCTTTTGCATTTTTGTGGTTGAAATAAAATGAAACTGTGGATGCTTCCTCCATAAAAGTTGAACCTGTGAGGTTAAGGTTGTTCTTTGTAAGTGTTGGTTCTTGTAGATATTTTTAGAGTTTTGATATTAATTTCCTGATCAGGAAAATGTTAATCCTCTTCAGAATTCGAACCAAAGACCCTTTGATTACAGTGCGCATACTCTGCTAACTGATGTACTACCTTGGTCTTATCTATTAGTATACTTTGTTTTCTCTATGTATTGCATAATACAATAAATTGTTATATCATGTCATATGATAGTAAACTACTGATAGATTAGAAAATCTACTGATGATGGAAATAAGAAATCAATTATATTTATCACACTAGCATGGTATATTCTGTTTAGAAATTTACCATAAAAATATTTCGAGTATATTAGCTTACGAAATTCCCGGCCATGTATTTATCACTTCAAAAAAAAGCATCTGTTAGGTATACCCTTACATTGTTTACTACATTACCATTAATGTATATTTTCTTTTTGAAAATCCAGATCTATTATGGATTTCTGCGAATCAATAGGATGGAATGGAACCATCGGCGATCTTAAAATTGACTCGGAGTCGCTTACAGTAGCCGTGGCAATTTATATTACTTTAGCATTTGCTGTATTTGCCGTTATCTTAGCCAAAGGATTCACATGGATCAGACAATATGTTTTTCAAGATAAGGTAAGAATACTTTACTGTATTGTATTGAGGAGGTTATGTGGCAAAGACAAGCCAAACCAGTTACTCATCGCATATCCTATTTCAGAGAGGCCAAAACATGCTGGGATGTCAAATTTTGGAAAACTATTTTATTGGACTAAACTAACATTTATATATCTATACATCATGCTATGCTGTTATTTTCCCCATTTTCAATGTTAAAAACTACAATTTTTAACTATTTAGTGGTAGTTTCTGCTGAGAAATTCCCAAAATCATAAACTTGTAAGGCTGATTTCTTGCACTCAAAACAGCTGTTTAAACTCTTTTAGCTTCATAAGGAAATGTCGAATTTAAATTATTCTTTTACCATTTTAGACTCTCATTTTAGTCTTTAACCCTGCATTAATAACTACCTGTACAAGTAATCATTACAGGTATCTTAGCATTAGGAGAATAGGCCTTTAATATAATAATATTTAATTATATGATTTTTGATATTACAAATAAAAAATGCTGAAAACTTCAAGTATTTTATGACCCATTTTGAGTCTGTTAAAAATATGTATTTTAATAATGTAGTAGCATGCATATTATTGGTTTTAATCAAAATAATTAATCTACTATATTTCAGAAACATAGCATGAGGGTGAGTGAAATGCGACAAACATCCCTGTTTTACACTAACATAATATTTATTACTGTATTAATGACTAAAAATGTTGCGACGAGTAATTGGTTTGGCTTGTCTTTGCCACATATAGAGAACAATGATTGATTAGCTATTGATCCATCATGCTCACCTGTACATTAAAAAAGAATTGAATCATTCTGCCTGTACAAGTAATCATTGCAGGTATCCTAGCATTAGTAGAATAGGCCTATTATAATAATAATAATAATTAATATAATTTTGATATTACAATTAAAAACATGAAGTATTTTATGAACCATTTTCAGTCTGTGCTAAAAATATGTATTTTAATAATGTAGCAGCATATATATTATTGGTTTTAATCAAAAAATGTAATACTGTATCTACTAAACATTGCATTAGGGTAAGTGAAATGTGACAACTCCAGTGCTACAATAAACTAATATTTTACAACCTTGCTGTATGGTTTTCATAGTTTTTCTCATAAATTTGATTGATAATACAAAATGAGATGACAAAACTAAAATTAAAATATAATATTTCCAATAGAAAGTAAAGTGCGAGCATTACATCATATTTCGTAATGATTCAATGATTTTAAGTTTGTTTTAAAATTAAAATATAATATTCACTATAGAAGCTACAGTGTGAATGTTGCATCATATTTAGTAATTATTCAATGGTTTGTCATACATAGGCAAATGATAGCTGTGATCCCTGACAATAAAACTGGCTTTTAGTTGGTTGCTTTTGAAATAAATATTTCAAAAGGGTAAGATGATTTAATGACAAAGGATTCCAGCTAGTAGTCGACACCCATAATTTGTAATGGTGATGTCGCACTGCTGGCATCTGATTGGATGACCTTTGATCCCTTAAAACCCGGACAGCAATAGGTTGATCCGGAAGGAAGTTGCCAATCCCATGAATAGACAATACCAGTATGGTACTGCATACTAGATCCTAAAGTTTCTGCACATTCCTAAAGTATTTTGTAATCACAAATTTTTTCAATTTGTTTCCCTTTATTTTGTAATTTAGATTGTGTAGAAATACTCTTAAGCCAAATAAAATTGTTAGTTTCCCGTCTAAGATTTGAAATTATTTTTGGGCGAGGTACTGTCTACTAAATTTGCCATACTGTCTATACTACATAGTAGTAGTATTAAAACAGACTTTTATTTTAATCAATTGTTTCAAAAATGTAATATTGTAGGCTTACTGTATGTTACATACAATATCTGAAACATATTACAGTAAGGCAAGGCTTTTTTATTCCTTGTTTCGCATTTGTTTTTGTTAAGGTTGTCAGAGGATGGTGGAAGAAAGATAAAAATAAAAAAACTTTGTTTTCTTATTTAGCAAATAGTTAATGCCAAAAACATCCAGATGGAGAAAATAAAAATAAAATGTTATTGGTGAATGTGAAATAGGATGGTTAAATGCTTCAAAATTAGATCTCATTTCAGCAGATGGCTTAATAAAAATAATGAAACTTTTTTTTTTCTTAAATTTAAATTTTTTAGTTGTGGCAGGTATGCTAATTGGCCAAAAATAACATTTTATTTTTATTCAAAATTATCAATATTCACAGTGGGCAGGGTTGCTAAACAAAGTATAAAAAGTCTCGCCTAACTGTAAAAAACTGGGATTTTCAGATTTTTATTTTCCATGAAAAGAGAATTTTTTGTCATGAGACTCCGAAATATGATAAGAGGGTGGGGATGTGAGGCAATTCAGTTTATTGGCCTCATCTTTGAAGGTTTTTTGTTCAATAATTTTAGATTTTTTAATTAAATAGGTTAATCTTTGACATATTTGGTGCTTTTACACTGGTGATTAAAAAGTCTAAAAAAATAAAAAATGTATACCATTACCATTGCGTATGCCATTACCATTGCAAGACTTTAAATCATTGGTTCACAAACTTAATTTTAACGATCGGCAGTAAAGGACAGGATTTAGCAAATTATTTTTGCCATAAACATCCAAATGGTTTAGAAAATAAAAATAAAATTGTACTGGTAAATCTAAACAGTGTACAGTAATGGGATGGTTATATTTAAATTTATATAAGTAGGAAGAAATCTTATTTTTGAAGATTTCATGGCATTGGCAAGCGGTAATAAAAATATTGTGGCAGTGGGTGTGCTAGTTGGGCAAAAATAACATTTTATTTCATTTATTTTTAAAATTTTTTATTCAAAATCATAGTCATTGGCAGTGTGTTCGCTAAACAATTCATAAAAAGTAGTCTTGCACTTCAAGATTGTTTCATTGTAACACAAAATTCAACCTTGTGCGTTGTTTTTTTTGTCCATTAAAACGCCAATCAATAAATACATTGTTATGTTAATCTTGACTTTCCATGGCTAATAGTGATTATCATCTATCATCAGTATGCCATAGCAATGTTTTCCAACCATACATAAGACCACACCTTGCTGTGAAGCCTTATCCCATTGGCCATTTTACAGTACTTAACAATTATATTTTACATTGCAAAATCGATGCTTTATTGGGAGCAGTTGCTACAGCGGTTCTAGCGCTCTCTCAACCACAAGGTCGAAGGGTACCTTCGCTGTGAATTTTGCTCGTGTCATTGGGCAAGGCACTCCACCTGTGTCATATTGAGTCAATATCGGCATTAAATTGCGAACATGACTGGAATACTCCAATGGGAGTGTGGAGGAGGTTTGCCAAATTATGTATCCAGTGACCAAGTGTAATAATAAAAAAAAAACATCGCTACTGACAAGTAGCAAAAGACAAATAAAATAAATTCCCTTAGTTTTTTTTTTAATTTATAAAACAGTAGGTTAATTCTTTTATTTTCCACTAGTTCTCCACAACATGCAGCCCAGATTACACATAGATTACGATGTATATAGTACCATAGTAGTGTCAACACAACGCCAGGTGGCACCCTCTTTCGCCATTCCAATGGTTTGTCAGTGGAGAAAATGGTGTCCGGTGAACGCATTTTGCAACGATAGCAACAGATTAGTTATCACATGGTATCGTGACGTAACACTGTAGTACTCTATATTAGGCCCAAAAAAATAAATATATTTTTTTTCACCCTCGCACTCATGCCTTCTGTAGTACTGAAAATAAAATATTTTAGAATTTTTTTTTAACAATAAATAGTAGATTTTGTTTATATTATGTCAATAACGTTTTACTTTGAATATCAATGCACCAGCAAACAACCCAATGGTAATATTTTGCTTCAGTAAAGTTTAAAAAGAAAACCATTGATATGTAACGATTTGAAAAGATACAATTTTTTTTTTCTTGCCTAAATGTTATAGATATAGTTTATATTTCATTATGACTGCAAAAACTAGTTTCAAAGAATTTTAATGTAGCTTGTGGTTGATTTCACAGAAGCAAAGTAAATATTTATTTTTACTTTGCCTTAAGCAGGATGAAATATTTAAACAGTTTCCTGTTTCCCTGTTCTATCTGTACTCATAAATCTTACTAATTTATTTACAGGACAACTTGGACACAAGTTTCGATGCAGGGGGAAAAGTTAATATCGGTATTACTGCAGCAACGATTGTTTCACAGTGGACATGGGCAGCAACGCTCCTTCAGTCCTCATCGGTTGCAGCTAAGGTTCGTTTTTTTTTTTTTTTTTAACAGTACATTTATAATGCCCTGCTCTTTACTTGACACTTGATACATAGTTAAATAATAACAGATGTAGACAAGGTTGTGAATTTTACAGGGTCACTTCTGGAGCAGGGTCACTTTTGGAGTGGAGGTACCGAATGCATTGTAAACATGTTATCATATTATCGGTACATAGTGGTCTTTCATACTCAGTTGCCAATGTTGATTTTAATATTCATGAGTAAAGGCTCTTTGAAGATTAACCCCTGAACTCTTGACGTCTTCTTTGCCAATAACATACATGAATTATCAATTATGAGGATGTTAGCTCAGTACAAAAACAGAATTGAAACAAAAAAAAAATTGTTTTTCCTTTAAATCTGATGAAATGTCAGCAATTTCTGAAAATTTCACGCCTTATTTGATTCTTGGTAGATCACCTGAGGTTACAAAAATGTTTGTTTCATTTATTTATTTGACCTTAATAAAATAATACCGTTTGAGTGATGATAGTTTAGTTTATCTGTGAAATAATTTTTTTTTTCATTTTTGCATAGATTAAGCTCTTACTGTAAATCTTTATAGATACCATTTCATTTGCTAGGATTTTTGAGTGATTATTTTTCTTTGTACAGTACTATTATACCATTTACTTTTGATGACTTATAGACTAGAATCATAAATATTGTGTAGTAAAGACATTTAGAGCCCTTTGTATTTTGTACTTTAGATACCATCACTTCTGTAGGATTTGTTGCGAGTTTATTTATCTTTGTATTCGTGCCGCTTTCCTGTTATAATAACCTACTGTATAGTTGGAAGAACCAAAGTATCTTAAATTTTATATTGTAAAGACAGGTTTAATCCATTTGTAAATGCCATCTATTTTGTTAGGATTTGTCATGCCAGGTTATAATCCTGGTTGGGCCAACCTTGTTTTTTTAATTTATCACGCTCACATTTTTCTTAAGAGTTTTTACAACTTTTATTATATCATGGTTTATATAATATGTTACTTATGAAATAGCAATAGTGATTTACAACTTTTATTATCATGGTTTATATAATATGTTTAACTTGTGAAATAGCAATAGTGATAGCAATTTAATGATATGATTTGTATCTGTTAACTGTAGTACGGCATTAGTGGTCCATTCTGGTATGCTGCAGGAGCAACCGTCCAGCTGCTGCTATTTGCAGCTCTATCAGTCCAGTTGAAAATCAAGGCCCCTGGAGCCAAGACCTTCTTACAAGTGACGTACGCACGATTCGGATCAAAAGTTCATCTTGTTTTCTGTTTTATGGCTCTGCTGACCAACTTTATCGTCACCGTAATGATGATGATGGGTATGTTTCAAGATATGACTTAAGAGCTTCGTATCCGAAATTAAATTGACTGTAATTGTTAATAATGAATTTTGATGTTTGCCATTTCTTCCTACAATAACAACCAGCCATGTATGGCCAAGATTTTAATTCATTACGACATTATCACCTTCTTGCATCCGTGTAGCAAATTGATAACTTGGTCAATAGGTGATTCCCTTTTTATTTTACTGGGAAACATTTAAAATTAAATAATTTATAGGGATAGACATATGGATGTCATAATTATTCCCTGAGGTACTATGATCGTTCACCGTTCACCACTGCAGTGGAGGTGGCAAAATATCGAAATTAGATTTTCAGTGTTTGAATTGTGGTAGAATAACAAACAAGGTCATTTACTGTGTTGCCAAGATAAACTTTTCCACAGACCTGTAATGATGCTGTATGGAAAATAATAATCCAATACAGGTACAAGTTAAAATATTTTAAAAAAATATCGCCTAAGCTTTCTCAATTATTAAATCAAATTGATACAATATAAGCAAACACATTGTTTTATTGTACTTATAAATTATATCCACTGAAGTAAAGAAGGCCACTTGGTACAAAAGGTATGCAAGGTATGCTGTAATTAATTAAATGATTGCGCCTCCATGATTTCCAATTTCTGTTTCATCCATTGCACCATGGTTGCACCAGATGTTATTTTGACGGCAACATAAGCAATGATAATGGAATTAAAATCAATAACATAATTTGTATTGTTAATCATAGAGAAGTTTATGTTATGTTTTTGTCGCATCAGAAATTTAATAAATAAAAAAATATTAACCCTCGCATATCTTCTGTACTTCAGTACAAGCATAATTATATGCACAGTGGTCTATTTTTAACATGTAATTTGCGAGTTTCCTGTTTGCTACTGATGGAGAATAAATTAAATCGTTGACAAGCGAGGAAAATGTTGGTAATGCGTGCTCTCATCAATAATAAATATCTCCCTCGAGACACACTAGTCTTTCGTATGCAAGCCTATTCCTAACATTTTCTGCGTCATTCAGATCCCATTTCATCTGGAAGAAATGTTATACAAGGACACCCCTCCCCCAGGGGCATCCCTCTTTTGTGTTAACAGTGAAAACTAACATTAAAATGCTCAGTGAATAATGTTGGGTGTCATAGGCTTTCTGGACTCTGGCAAGATTTGACATAACAAGAAATTCAACAAAAGATTTTTTTTTTTTTTTTCTTTATTTTTCCAAGATTTTTCACGAATCAATAATTCATTTTTAGTTGGAAGCTACAGTATAACATATTGGAATATAGAAATTAAGCAGTTTTGTTTGATGTAGATTTGTAGGATATCTATTTGAATGTTATGAATGTATCTGTATTTTATACATTGAGAAAAAACAACCTTTTCTATTTCCCCATTGAAAATTTAATGTAAAACCTTGATTAAATTATAAAGCTTGTTTCACACATTTTGATGTGACTGATACTTTAGGATGCGACATGACACTCATGGCCATATATGGGCAAATTATTAGTCACAAAGAAAACTCAGTGTGGGCAGACCTTTGTTTCCAAGGTTTAAAAAAAAAAAAAATTTTTAACCGTTTTTTGTTGTTGAACTATTCCCACATTCTCAAAAGCTCACTGAATATTTTGGTTTTCTTTTTTTTTCATTTACAGGTGGTACCGCTGTGATAATGAATTTGGTGCCAGGTTTTAGCCTTGAAATGGCTTCGCTCATCCTGGCAGCAATGATTGGCAGTTACACATTTATTGGAGGCTTGGGCGCTACATTTTACATGTCTTATTTCAACACCGGTATCATCTTCATCGGCTTACTCGTCTTTCTCACCAAAGTATATGTCAGTACGGCTGATCAGGATTTCCCTCTTGGTATGTCACCGAGTTGTTTTTTTTATCGTAGTTTTAAAATGTTTTATATATTTAAATGATTGCTTGTGTATTTATGTATGCTTAAAGACTCCAAATAATAGTTTAAATTCATGGGTTACTTTTTAACAATGTTTTTATTTAACTATTAGCTTACTTAGGCATGATGTACCTATATTTGGTCATGATGTGATTGACCATATTTGGGCATGGCGCATAGCTTTCTCAATGTCAAATAAAATTAGGTACTTTGGATAGGGCTTTACAAATATAGATTTTTTTGCTATGTTACAGGTTCTGTTGATCGAGTGTATGAATATATTACGTGCGGTGAGGTCACTGCCAATTCGAACGAGAGATATTTCTCGTTTTTGTCAACTAATGGCCTTATGTTCGGTATTATAAATCTTGTTGGTAAGTAGTGTTAATTCACCTTTCACATTTTTGTATATCGAACATTAAACTGGTAAGATATGTTGAAGATTTTATGCTTCTACTTTCATGGAAACCATTTCAATAGGAGCGTACAAAGAGGGATAATTATTTGGGGGTTTAATCCACCGTTTTTTCCAACCAGAACGATTGTAATTTTAGGGCACAAAGTATTTTAAATTTGACAGTTTATCCCCTTCCCCTCACAACATTTTAACATGTCTGTCCACAAATCTCCAATTTAAGGTTGTTTTATGTTCCCTATATTGCTTTTGAAACAAAAATATATAATTTAGTATAAGCCTGTCCACAGATATTAATATCCATCCAACTTTTCTATTATCCTTTTCCCCAAATCACAAGTTTTTTTTTTCATCAGAAACCAGTTTATTATACTGTACCATAATTTAATAGGGTTATATTTTTTGTAACTAATTAATACTATTAATTGTATGTAGCTACGTTGTTTTTATTATAGTTTATATATATTTTGTAAAAAAATTACAATCCCTTGCTATATTCTATACTAATCATCCTTCATTGAAACTTAATGTTATTTTAAGGTCGCATAATTCAAATCTGAATATTCCTGTATAGAATTGGATAAGTAAACATGTATTCATTATAAATACACATAAATACAAGAGAAAATACAGTACAAGTTTAATTTGTCATTAATTTTTCAGATATTTTTTGGGATCTCTCATTGTTAGCATTAGAGCCTGGTAAAAATAACCTACCTTCCATAATTGCAGAAAGCCATCTTGTATTCTCTCTTGTATTTTTGTATCCGTTTCCTCAATTTGAAGCATCAGTTGTAAACGTTTTGAGGAGTTAACTGCATTTTGATAAAACAAAATATATATATTTTTTGTATATGTGCACATTTTATCTAAAATTGTATACAGAGTGCACACCGGTGTACCAGTATGCGTTTTGGAAGGCTTACAAGACTTAACCCACACTTTGGGTGAGAAGTAGTTTTATTTTTTTGTTATATTATTTTTTTTTATACTCCAAAGTAATATGTAATTATCAATGCTTAGTAACTACTTAGTGGTGAGAAAAGATTGTATTGTGAGGAAAAGATTAGATGGTGGCTGATGGTTAATGAGGTGGTGGCGGATGGCTCATGAGATTGTGGCGGGATGGCTCATGAGATTGTGGCGGGATGGCTCATGAGATGGCACTGGCAGATGAGGTGGCGGTGGGAGAGTGGAGATGTGGTGGCGGCGGTGTGGTGTTGGCGAGGTGGCGGCAGGAGTGGAGATGAGATGGCAGCAATTGGTTATTGATGAGGTGGCGGTTGTGAGTGTGGAGATGAGGTGGCAGGGGGTGTGGTGGATGAGTCGGGGGAGGAGTGTGGTGAGGTGACAGTGGATGGGTAATGAGATGGTGGCGAAAGATAAAGTGTGGAAAGATGGGGGGTAAGATTGTGGGATCACATCAACTAAGTATTTCGTCGGCGTTAAATCGAAGAAATCGTAGATATCTACGTTTTTTGAATTATTTTTCGTTATCGATCAGTATTCTGCACCTACTAAGTTCCTTTCAGTGAAGGACTGTTGGATATTGTATACAGATAGACACCGTTCTTTCCATTGGGACGTCTGGCACCACCGCTGCAACATTGAGAGGCGTACCAAGTCGGCAGAGATACCGTCGGTAATTGAATCGCTTTAAGCCACAATGACCGAACGAGTTAAGGCACTCTTTTGTGTCAAAAATATAATAAAATTGGTTTCCATCCCATTCATTGGACATGGTCATTTTACATCATATGCTTTCAAAAAACTATATACCAACATTGTCACAAGGTTGCAAGAAAATTAATTTTTCTTTCGGATTCCCACTTGCTATCTTCATGATTCCTATCTTAATGATTCCCATCATCCAAAATTGACATCCATCACAAAAAAGCTATCAACATTTTACATATGACATTTGCTTTGTTACTGGTGGCAGTATAAGCCTATATCAAAGAACGTTTATTTTGACATCTGAAATCAACATTGACATCCATCACAAAAAATTTTACAAAACATTTTATTTAAAACATTCTTCCTGTTACTGGTGAAGGTATCCTAACTAACAGCCTATTTCAAAGAAAATTTATTTTTACGTCATCTGAAATCATCAACATGGACATCCACCTCAAAAAATTTATAAACACTTTATGTAAAACATTATTCATGTTACTGGCAACAGTATCCTAACTAAAAGCCTATTTCCAAGAACATTTATTTTGAAGTCACCTGAAATTAAATAACCATTTCACATTTAAGTAACAAGATGTCTTTAAAAACCTATGTATGTTTTATTCAAGATTAAATTAGTCTCTCTTTCCCCTTCAGGTCATTATAATTTTCATTAAAAACCTATGTATGTTTTATTCAAGATTAAATTAGTCTCTCTTTCCCCTTCAGGTCATTATAATTTTCATGATTTCACGTTCTGTCGTTAATTCATGCATTCTTGTTCTTGCATTCTATGTTAAAGCTAAATTGTTTTCAGGAGACTTAATCACTTATAAAATAATAAACTAACCATTTATCTTACCTGACAGTGTTAGGAAATGTGTAGATAGTTTTACTATATTTATCATTGATGCCTTTATTTTATATTGTGCAAATTTAAAGTTGCTACTAAAATGTTAATAGAAAAACATCCCAAATAATTTATTTTCCCAATTCTAGATTAGATTTATTATTTCATTTACTGTTTTAAATACTTTGCTAACATGGTTTACCTGTACTACTTATAGGTAACTTTGGAACGGTGTTTGTTGACCAGTCCTACTGGCAGAGTGGCGTAGCAGCTAAGCCTAAGCAAGGCATGTGGGGCTTCATCTCCGGAGGCCTTGTCTGGTTTGCAATCCCATTCACCTTTGCTGCTACCATGGGCTTTTCATTTTTGGCCCTTAGCTCTTACAGTGGAGAGCAGTTGATCTCTGATGACGAAATTGAGCAAGGTAATCATAATAATTCCTGGTTGATGTAAATGTTTGTGTCATAAATGTGTGTTGCAATAAAAAAATATTGAATAGTGAGCAAGTCATCTTAATAATGAACATAATTTAATAAGTCAAATATAATTTAATAATAATCAAATTAACAGTCAAATTACAAACTAGAGAAAATAACTAATATTTAGTTTTATTTTTGGAAATTGCTAGATGATTTTCATAAGAAAGATGCCTGAAATATGAAATATTAAAAAATTTGTTCCCAGGACTAGTTGCTCCAACCGTTTCCCGAGCATTGATGGGCTACTACGGAGAAGTTTTGATGTTTATCATCATACTGATGGCTGTGACGTCGACAGGATCAGCAGAAGTTATCGCCATAACATCAATCTTGGTGTACGATCTCTACAAGATTCACTTGAGACCATACAAGGCATTGGATAACCCCAACGCATGTGAGATATGTGGAAAGAACCGTGGACGCAAAGCAAAGGATTTCGACCAGTGCCAGTGCGTGAAGAAATCCGAATGTTCATATTGCATCAACGATGACTGGTAAATACGATTTCAAATGGCATAATACGCTTATTGGAAGAATTTTTTTGCAATCAAGTAAAGCTGTTTTCTGTCTGAGCCACTACCATTCTGATTCTTTTACTTTGTGCATTATATTTTTACTTAGAACTTCGACCTAATACATCAGAGTTCTATTTGTCATTTACAAAATTTGTTATTGAGTACAGCGGAGCACTGTGCGGTAACAATTGAATACTTAAGGCGTCCGTGTGGTGCTTTACCGTAGAATTGACTCAGAAGGGTTAATTGATCCAGTAACATAAAATAACTCATGTTGATGAAATCTAATTATTTTGATCATTTTACATATTACAGCCTCCGCAGTTCATGCAACGATGCCATTAAACCAAACTACAAATGTACTGTGCATGGTGAATACAGATCGTACCTAGACTTCCTCGGAGATAAACGTGATTGGTGCGTGGTGCTGGTGTCACTCGCCAATGTACCCATTACATTGGTGTTTGATTTACTAAATGTAAGTATCAACTTGTGACTGATAATTTTATTTACCAATTTCAACACTAAAATAATTCCCAATATAGTGGCCACTGTCTTAAATTTTCTTCTTTAGCTTTAGTTGATGTTTTGTAAAAATATATTTTTCAGTTGAAGATGGGATGGCTTTACACATTTATGGGTATCCCGATCGCCTCAGCTGTGGTACCAATCATCCTCAGTGTTACATGGGGAAGACTAACCGGGGCCGGCATGATGATCGGTGCTATTGGTGGAATGATATTAGGGTTAGTAACGCTACTTGTTACGTCATGCTTAGAAGAGGGCGGACTTAGTAATGGAATGTTCTTCGAAAACACCGGCAAAGAATTCAATATGTTGATGGGTAACATTGTGGCTATCGTCGCAGGCGCAGTTTTTTGCATTGCCACATCGTTAATCCAACAAAAGCCTTTGACAGAAGAAGAGGAAGAGGAGGTTTGGGAGAAGACGCGTGACATTGACAATCCGCTGATGCCATGGAGTGAGCATTATACCAGGTAAGAATCAAAGTGTTGTAATGTGTAAACGGGTGGCTCCCATATATTCTAGTACTACATAAGACCTTGAATAGAAGCCCTTGGCTTCTTTTTATCTCGCTCATTGATGGGCATCTTTTCGAGATGGGCTTCTTTTCGAGATTACTTTTGCAAAAACTAAGAGGGAGTGCTTCTTTTCAAAATGAATGCTGTAAATATTTGGAATTGCTATGAAATTTGAAATTATGTTCTGTATTGATACTTGCATGCTATCATCATGAAAGATCTCGAAAAAAACCATTGGAAGCCATGGGCTTCTTTTAGAGATGGGTTTTGTTTTTTCAGACTAAAGGGTGCTTCATTGCGAGATGGGCTTCTCAAGATTAATCCTATTGGGCTTTTATTCGATGTTTTACCTTATAGTATTAAAAAATGGAGAAGTAATTACATAACATGTATTGTGAAAAATATATAGTTCATCAAACGTTAAAAAATACATCAATAAAAAACCTAGTGGGGGAAAAGCTAATCATAAAGCATCAATAATAAAAAGATAAAAAAAAAAAAAAATTGTTTTTGGTGATACATCAAGATATACTGTAAATCATTATAAATTATAAAATGTAATAATGGTTTGTTTTTCTCTTATTATTTATTACAGAGAGTTCAACATCCCAATACATCTAAGCACAGACCGCCCGACTCTTGCTCAAATGAAACAAGTGTTTAGAAAGACCAAGATGGTCTCAATTGGTATAAGTATAGTTCTGTCCATTCTCCTTGTCATCATTTGGCCGGCAGTCATGGCTTCACTTGGAGATCTCACCTTAGGCGAGTTCACCTTCTGGATCGGGTTATCGCAAGCGTGGGCCTACACAGCTGGCACTTTCATCATCGTAGTACCACTGGTACTGGAATTGCACGATATCTATATACATTACAGAAGGTTAAAATACAGGGGAATGAAGAACGAAGATGTTAATGGCGTCGAGTTGGGAGACAAGGTCAAAGATCATGCAACCCCCGAATTGCAAGTGTTTTTACAAAATGGCGATGTTTCCAAAAAGGAACCTGTGGCTTAGTTAATTGAAATTAATTTTATATTGCACAACATCAATGAGGAGATGATTATGTTCAGTGTTCCTCAAACCGTACAATCGAAAATACTGTAACATATTTCAATGAAAAACCCAACTTGTGCTACCACGTGTACTAATATCAACCTGTACAAAGCACATGGTAATGTGTACTAAGACTAACTTGCACTATCGTCCCATTTGTGCTCTTTAATTCCCATTTAAGGAAGATTTGTATTAATGCAACAGGTGACAATGCGACTGTATTATATATTTATATTATTTAAGCGTCTGCAGTCATTATACAGTAACCTTATTTTTGCAATACTTTTGATATTCGTAGTTTATCTTAAAATTATAAGGTTTACAGAGAAATTTTGGACGCAAGTTGCACAAACAGACTTATAGTTCGCTGTCCAGATTTCAAGGAGTAATTGGACCGGGGGAAAAGAACTTAGCGCTTCGTAACTGAAAAGAAAGGCGCTATGCAAATAGCAAGTAAAACTTTGGTCGGCACTGCTCAAGTTTAATTGTGTAGTTTCTAGTAGATAAACAAGCACAAATTGTGTGAGGCACATTGATTGGAATTGAGACTAAAATAGTGTAGTACGAATGAAATGCTTTAAGGTGTAAATAAGAGCACTGCTTGCATTTTGTCTTGAAGTAGCTTCATTGCTTACAAACTGTAACAAAAAAATATTTTTTATACTGTATTAGTTTCAAAGCATTGACACTGTAGAACTTTAGAAGGGCATTAGGCAGTGCCCAGGCATTCACTCAACCTTTACCCTCAGTTAAAGGGGTCAAAGGTCTCTAAAGTTAGGTGGGAACAGTCTTATTTTTTTTTAATGAAATGTTTATTGTACTGCAATTTTATCTTTTAACTGCAAGCGATTTGTGTTTACTTATATAGATGTATTCCAATTTTGTTTTGCTTCGGACTTGAAAAATACGTCATATTTAAACCAAGTAAGAATATACTGGTGTATTTTATACCCAATTACCGGTTTTCTGTAGCCTCTGGATTTGTTTAGAGAATTTTATTTCATCATTGTAGTCATGCACATTACTTAAAAATGTAATGTACAAAAATTTCCTCAAAATGCTCCATCAGCAAATAGTTGCTGTGGGCTAGGCATGGGTCAGGTAACTCGAGAGCAAAAAGCTTGCTGTCGAGCCTGGGATTTACAAAAGCAGTGGAAGATCCTTTCTACAGCAACTGCTGTTGGTGCTTTCGAACTTGTAATTTGCTTCCTGTGCAGTGGCGTATCAAGGGAGTTTTGAAATAGAGGCTAAAGTGGGGCCGGGGGGTGGGCGTGTGATAAAGTGTGGGGTACTATCTAGCAAAATAAAGTAATAATTGTTTTTTTATCTACTTTGAGTAGCAGTGCGCCCACCTAGATACGCCTCTGTTCTGTCAAGGTGATAAATTGATTGATCTGGATAGCATAGTAGAGTAAAATCTTAACTTAATGTTATCTTGTTATTCCGTTAAATAAACAAACCACACAGCTGATACCTGTATTCCATTCCATTTATTTTGTTTTTACAATGTGGCCGATCCGTAGCAAAACAACGCAACTTTAAATATAAATAGTTTGCAACATGGTAATAAATTGTTGTACCCTTCTGTAATTTGTCAGGACTAAATATCAATAGACATTACAATTACTGTATAGATAAAATTTTAATTACAACCGTTGGTTACTTGCAAAGTTATTGCCAATATTCACAGTTATGCTGTGTACCTTGGAAACATGTCGGATGTGGTATTGTTGCAAGTGAAACAATTCTTTCGAATTGACCAAAAAAACAAATTATAAATTGGTATTCAATTTGAATACTATTCCGAGGCAAATTGTATTGTAGATATGTTGTTTTTCCTCGTATTCTTGCAGTTGCGTTGTTTTACCATGAAAAATCACTAGATTTTAGTTTTTGCGCTTAAAGATAAGTGGTGCTATCTCTGAAATTTTCAGATAATTCAGAAGTGTCTAATATACAGTACTCTGAAATGATGCCTTGGGGCGACAGAATAGTTGATGGTTATGCATCGGTGGCAGATTCAGGAAGTCAAAATACAGGGGCTTAAGAGGGACTTTCAGATCCACCAACCATGGAGGAGCTGATTATGGCACCTCTGGTTTTGATTTCCATTTCATCTTTACACTTATCATTTGGGCTCTATAAATTGAAAACCATTAACCATAGATGGCTGGAAATGGCACATAAGATAGACTGGCCAACCTGGCCACCTCCCTTGAACACTGTGTATAATGAGTACTGTAACCAAAAACAAGTGGGTAAAACTGGCTTAGAGGGTTCAAAGAATTTTTTTTTTGGTCAGTCAAAAATGAATTTACACAGTTTGACAAAAGTCCAGTATGAACAGCCAGCACATTGGTAAAATTAAAAGCCTCCCAGGGGATTTCCGATTTTTGGTAGGGTTTCTGGACAAAACGGCAACATTTTTTGACCAGAACGGCAATAGACCAAACCGAAGCGAAGCGTCAATTCAAAATTTATGGTCTTCATAAAAATAAAGAAAAAATAAACATAGTGTAGGTCTACTATGATTAAATATGGTAAATAACGGCAATATCATTAACAATATTAATAATAATCGTAATGAGGCTAAACAATTTGTCAAAAAAAAAAAAAAAAGCTCATGGCAATATTTGATTTGTCTATCGGGACAATTTCAAAACGATTCAAAAAATTATAAGCTGCGGCCCACACATGGTGGCGCTTGCTAGTCTTGGTGTTGATTTCGCTCATTTTGGTCTATACCTTTGGTTAGACTTGGGATCACGGCACCGAATTCTTGGGAGGGGTGGGGGTGCTGCCTTTAAATCCAGCTGTAAACGGGAATTAACTAAAACGGAGGTCAAGATTAATCCAGTGGACATATGGCGCAGTTAATTATTGCCCTCATGATTGGACAGTGGGAGCTCCAAACTACAGTACAGTAGTTGTATTGCACAAAATGTATATTAAATGACTACAAAAAAAATCCTTGCCACATTTTATTACATCTGTATACAAAATCGGTTTTCTTGGAACCATTACCGCTTTGTAAAATCACAAATTAACTGAACATATGTGCTAATGATAAATTTGCTAATTTTCATGCAATTTCAAAGACTCCCCAATTATAAACATTATGGCCTATATTCTTATTTAATTTGTTGCATGCATTTGTGTTAATTATTTTAAATATTTTTATTTTTTGTTATACATAATATGTAATTCCAGTGTTGAGTGGGAGACGTAATGAAACGCCATCTCTATCAAAGTTTATGGTTAGGATGCATACAGTAGATGTATAAATTCTTTATGATAAATATATAAGCCTATTGCTAGGCCTACAACTGCTTGACAGCACAAGCGAAGAAATAAATATGAATGTTGTTTATATCCATATCGGGATTTCTTAACTGGCAAGATAATCCCTTCCTAAATTTTTATTATAGCTAACACCTGTGTTAAAGTGCTATAACAAATTGCCTTCAGAAGGCAAAGATAATGAACTTGTTGAAACTGGTTTCTCTGTACAGCCCTTGGTAAAATATTACAGTAAATGAAAATAGGAAACAAACAAAACGGGTATTTTCAAATTTTAAAAGCAATAGACCACAATTACATGACCTAAACTACATGTATAAAAATATTCATAACCAGCAGGGGGTAATTTGATGTCGGGATGCACATGCAAAGGCCATTAAAATGGTTTCTATTGCTTAAAAGCATTGGAACCAAAAATGGCATGGACACCATTACTAATGGTGTTTGTTATTGATATCTAATTAAAATTTGCTGATGGTAGTGATGACTATCAGTTTATGCTTTACAGAAAAGTACTGTATACTGAATGCAAATTAAATATTTATGAGAATTATACCTTCTGGTTTAACAACAGATTAGTTCAGTCATAATAATACACATGTAACCAGCATTTATTCAACAGATTACTGGGAAACTGTGCCACCCACGTACATGCTACAATATACACAGTTATCAAAATAGGTTGTAATACCCAATGAAACAACTTCATTTCAAAATTATAATTGTCTGCACTGTAAACTCTTATTTTCTAAATCTTATACATACAATAATACATATGATCACCATGTAGTATTTAACTTATAGCACTAAATAGAATAAATTAAAATGTTTAGATAGAATTGGGAAAGTGATCAACTATCATAAAAATTCTTTACAATGATGCTTGCAGAGAATAAAATCACTGATCAGAAAAACTACTACATACAGTTAATCATATGATATACAATGGAAATGGCTTATATCAAAGCTATTGAATAGTCTTCAAAATCCAAGGTTGTATTGTGTATGACATTTTCCTGTATTGCAAATGTCCTTTTTGAAGTTAAATTTTTCAGGGTTGGTGCCAGGATTTGCCCAAAGGGGGGAGGTGGTCCAGATGGTGAAGCTCCCCAAAAACTATAACAATTAGGGGTTTCACAGGCTTAATTTTAGAGTATACTAATTATATATAAAGAAATATATATAATCTTTCTCTTCCCCCAATGGGCTCCCTTCCTGGCGCTACCTCTGAAATTTACTTGCATAAAGCCTGACTGGATTGATGGCCTGACTGGACTGCATGGTTGATGGATCAACCATGAAGGATCAATATTTTCCTCTTGTGGGTTGCAATATTCAAATTAAAAAAATGTGATTGTTCAACTCTCCTGTTAACGATCAATACTTTTTCCTTGTAGAATTTGTGCGATGTCGGCTGATGTTAGCGTCTCGTACTTGAGTAAGGCTTGCGCTAGAATTTGATGTTCTTTGTTGTGCGTTTTCAACAGATGTTTTGCACGTTCGTATGATTCCTACATATGGAAAATTTTAATAAAGCATAAAACCATTATGAAATTTCACAATTTGCACATGATTATGAGAAATAGCTACTTGGAAAAGAAAAATACAGTAGCTACTTGGAAAGGAACCTTCAACATTGCTGTAAGATTACAAAAAATAGGCTGGCAGCAGGAGCTTGGGTCTATGCCCTATAATGCCTTACTGTATTATGTTCACTAATAAAGTATCCACATGGGATTCGGTTCCTGTATCAGGAAATGTGTGGTGTTGTATTTTTTTTATGACTTTTGTACAGTATTAAGGTACATAAGATGCACCTCCATCGGGTATCCCTATTCCGCCACCATTAACTGCTAGATCATAACATAGTGTAAAGGGGGCATATACACAATTAAAAACTAACACTGTAATACTAACAACTTTCTTATGTCAGCGGCGTTAAATGCATTGTTGTTAAGTGGCCAGTGGCCTTGAAATCTTACAATGTTCATTTTTCCGGAAAAAAAATGGGGGGGGGGGGGGGGGGGGGGAGAGAAAGAAGGGGAAACAAAATTATTTGGAAGAAAAAGTGGCCAGTGGCCTTGAAATCTTACAATGTTCATTTTTCCGGAAAAAAAATGGGGGGGGGGGAGGAGGGGGAGAGAAACAAAATTATTTGGAAGAAAAGAAAATTATCTGGGGGAAGCAAACTGCCACCGCTTTATGTACAAAAACTTATAACATCTGTTATACAAGTTTCTTTATTTTGTATAACTCCATATCAAAAATCAATTACATTATGAATAACACAAAAAAGACGTGTATATCTCATAGTATTGAAATATCCAATTCCACTAATGCATTGTATAATTACATTAAATGCTGCAGTTTATTCCAGTTATGTTCAGTTGGATTCTTCTAGACAATACAATTTAACATCTCATTATTAATTCTTAAAAGAAAATATAGATTTTCTACGAAATTAGAAAATATGCATGATATTTGGATATTGATTTTCACAATCCAAGGAATGTATCAGACTGAATATTACTACAGTACTATTGATTTTATAAGAATTTAGGTTGTTTATAACAGTAAAGTTGATGCATTTATATGTTTTCATGTAAATCTTGTATACAATTATCAATATTCCTTTAAGATGAAGGAAAATACATGTGGTGAGGCCAAAAAAGCACAAGGTTTTGTTACATGGCCCCACAGATTGAAATACCCTTAATCAATTGGCCACCATTATTAAAATTATATGCACATAAAATAATAATCTTTACAGGCTTGTTTAAATTGAATTGACAGATGTTAATTACTTTGGTAGTGAATTCCAAAGGTCAGGTTTGTAGTGAAAATTGCATTTTTTTCTGCTGTTTAGTTTGGTGTATGATTCTTCATGGAAGTGATTGGCTTGCTTAATTAATAGAGCAGGTTGAAATTCATTAGAAATCGCTTTAATAGAGTATAGTATTAGATCTAAATATATTTAACTATTATTTACAGGTACAGTATATACAGTTTATAAATATAAATTTAAAAAAAATATTGTAACACACAACTAGATCTCTCTCTTAACATTAAAACAACAAAGCAGTGAATTTTGTCAACTGTTTTTAGTCAATGACAGTCAAATATTTCAGCCATGGAATGGCAAACAACAAGTACCATGTAAGTAAAGCCCTGTCCATGGCTACATTTTATGACAAACACATATGTGGCAAAGTCAATCCAAGCCAGTCGCTCATCGCAAAAATCAATTTTTAGTTATTAATACAGGGTTAAACATTAAAATGAGAACTATAAAATGGTAAAAGAATCATTAAAATCCGGCATTTTGTTATGACATTACAGGAGTTTAGACATACAGCTGTTTAAAGAACAATATTTGAGAAATCAGCCTTCAAAGTTTATGATTTTGAGCATTTCTCAGGCAGAAACCATTACCAAATTATTAAAAATTATTGTTTTAACATTGAAAATAACAGCATAGAAGGATATAAATTATAGATATATAAAGGTTAGTTTAGTGCAATAAAATAGATTTCAAAAATGTTGACATTCCATCATGTTTTGGCTATTATCTCTGAGACAGGATTTGCGACGAGTGACTGGTTTGGCTTGTCTGCCACATTATGACATGCCTTAATATGGTCATGATGACATCTCATCATGAACATAATGGTACACCATGACTGTGCTGCATCACATATGGGCATACAACAGCTGTCAAAGAAAATTTGATAGTCTGGACTGCACTTAATAGATCAGCCATAGTTTTGTTTTTTTGTAGAATAATGAAGTTAAAAGATGCATTGTCATGAGCCAAAAAAAAAAAAAAGAAATCATAATTTGCCTACTTTGTATATATATATATTACTATATGCTCATTTACAACATTTTCAGAAAATCTTGAGCATAAGGATGATCAGTATTACATCAATTCCAGGAAATATTTCAAATGCTGTCTCTTATACACATCTAGATGTGTATAAGAGACAGGTGTAAAGGGGGCATATACACAATTAAAAACTAACACTGTAATACTAACAACTTTCTTATGTCAGCGGCGTTACATTGCACACATGCATACGGGTAACTTAGTTGTACTCAACTTTCATGTGTAAATTGAGGGCCTCATTGAAAACGATGATGATGCTTAGGCGAATTTTGATTGGCTCAATCTAAGGCGGCCATCTTGGATGGTATACACACTCAGCTCTGCGTATTTCGAACATTGAATACATTGCAGCTAGCATTCTAGTATTCTTATTATACCTCTATGAACAATTTAAACATCAGGCATAACTGAAGCTTCCCCTACCTTTTCACTCATTCCAAAGTTTGTTACCATGAGCTGAGCAATTCTTGTAGCCTGATCAAAATCACTTGAAGCGCCAGTTGTGATGTTGTCGGGGCCGAAGATGAGCTCCTCTGCGACACGACCACCCATGCAAATATCCATCTGAGCCAATAGCTGTGATTTAGTTTCATTCCATTGGTCCTTCTCTGGGAGAAGTGATACCTGACATAAAAGAAAATTATGTATGAATTAGTTTTAGTCTACACTGAACAATTTCTTCTCAGTTGGCTGTAATATGTGACATGATAGACCTTCTCTTTATTGCTCTATCATATATTATCCAAAAAGGCATAACAAAAAAATACCTGTTATTTGGTGTTATTTGGTGCTTAAAGACTAACTCAGACAGTGTCCTACGATGCAGCCCAACGCGATTCATCGCCGGGGACTGTCTTAAACCGTCATAAGAAATATTAAACATGTTTAATATTCTATGACGTGACTGCCCATTAGCAAACCATCGTATCTGCGTTAAACTCACTCAGACCCGACGCAACAACAAATCACGTCTGTGTTGTACAACGCTGTCTGAGTTGCCCTTAAGATGATTGTATTCAATCCTTTCAAAGACTTTGGTTAAAATCCTGTCGATTGTTTTATTACTATAGGCCTAGGCTCAATTCTATGGTTTCCGATTGGCATATATCGATAGTTAAGAAAGCATCAAAAGTAGCCATTTCAAACATCATTCCTTTGGTCAAATAATTATACTTTTGCCAAAAACTTTATAAAAAAAACGATTTACTTTTTTGAGATTTTATGCAGATGAGACTTGGGCAAAACGAAGTCTGTTGCATTTTGGCTTTAAGGTACTCATTAAGATTAGGTTCATAGTGATACACTTACATGTCCAAGAGTTGGTCCCCTTGGCATAATGGTGGCTTTATTGATTGGTTTAGCATCCTTGGTGTAGAAAGCAACCAGAGCATGGCCGCCCTCATGGAATGCGGTGATCTCACGATTCTTAACATCTATTGTAGCACTTTTCCTCTCAGGGCCTTGAAAAATGAAAACTCAATTTTAAAACATGTTATGTATTATAATCAGTGGCGTAGGGATTGGCAGTGCAGCCAGTGCAAAGAACTAAGGCCCAGGGCTATTAGGGGCCCATTTATAAATAAGCCTAAAGATAATAACTAAAAATGATTACCAACTTAATATTTTTTAAGAAAAATGTGGTGGGCGGGCGCTTCGATAATAGGTTAGAGAAGCAATTATTTATTACTGTGTGCACTTCAATTTAGTGGCGAATTCAAGGGGACCCCAGCCGGCTCGGCCTCCTCCCTAAATTTCTGAAGCTTCACATCAAGTGTCCAGCAATTAATCTAGCGCTGGCGCCCTTTCTCACTTAGCTACGCCACTGATTATTATTATTATTATTTATATTAACCATCCTCAGGAGAGAACATTAGGACGTCATTTACATCAATCCACAAACTTGACAGAGTACAAATCAAAGATGTTTTTATGTTTGCAAAAGTACATCCTGCAAAGGATCGTAGGATCCATAACCACAAGGCAACAGGGGCTGTATCAACTAGTCCACAGGGGTAACCACTTACTCGTCTCGAAAGATGTACTGGGTTCTTTAAAGTACACATAAGACAATTGTGTACACTGAACCTACGGTTTATAAGCCTTAACCGCGAAGACTTCCTCCACCTCAAGAACCATTAGTCGAGCATGCCGCTCAAACTAGTGCGTAACCCCCTTACATCCCTGGGGGTATTCATAGTCCTGTAATACCATATTTCATGCCAATTCATATCTTACTAGACACCCTTCAAGTCCAGAGGCGACAGAACTATGATGAAATCGTCTGATAGTGCATAATAGGGCATGTAGTATTTAGTTGAGTATGGGAACCATATGTCTGGAAATGGTCGGACAGTCATATAAGAGAAGTAATGGGGAAGGAAATGTGGTTGCTTGTTACAAGACGCAACAATTGAACACTGCCTTATAGTGCCCAGGGAATGAGAAATGCTTAATGAATCAAAACCATGTGCAAGCAGTAATTTCACATGATCTACTGGATGGATCTTATTTTGTCAGAATATAGTGACATCACAACAAATTGCATCCAAGTCAAGAAATATTGGTCATTTTTATGACATCCGGCTATACCTACACATATATTATTATTATACATATATTGACTGCAGCATTGACCTGAGCATGCTCCGTACATTCGCCGAAGGGGGGTGGGTGGAATTCCAAGAATATTGCATCTAGGGTACTGGGCAAGGGTTTAAGTCACTAAGTGTTTTTATCGCAATAATACCCCATAAATGCCTCATAAACAGAGCAGTGTTTCATTGTGTAATTGGTGAATATACTTCACATCACATAAATGGATCCTGAATTTGATAAATGTACTTTTTATGGATGTGAAAGTACTGAAATGAAACATAATGTATATTTACCCATGAGTATCTTGTCCTTGGCAAACTCGAGATCTTTCATATCAATGCACTTTTTACTCTCTCTTGCGGCCTGTAACGCAGCTTGATTGACGAGATTCTGTAAATCGGCACCTAAATGAAGATAATATTAATCAAATCTACTATTTGTATTTAGCCAATTTAACCTAGTTTCATGTTATCGGGTACACAAAATTAAAAATTCATATTCTAAAAACCTGATATTCTTCAAACAAACTACATTAACATACAACGTATTTATTTATGTAAATTGGTCCATAAAAGTTAATTACATTACATATGCATCCACATTAGTGATTTGCTTTAGTATAAATTACATTAAAAAAATGATGGTAAAAAGAACACCCTGAATTATGCTTTTGTTTCCTGGTCAATGAATCTGTAGTGCACGAAAGTGCAACCATCATTTCGCTCTCTATGGAATATTCCATTCATCATGCTCGATGAATCAGCACACAATCTTATGCCTAGATCACATCAAACTTAAATCCAGTTTAAACTGGATTACTAGAGTCTAGAATACTTCTGATGTGAACCATTCATTTATATTCAGGTGAATGGACCTACTGTTGTAAGTGAAAGACTAAGAATTTCATTTATAATTCAAAATCAATAACCAATCACGTTCAACCTCAGTTCACATTTTATAAATATAAATATGTAAATGTGTATATACAGGTCCTTTGGATTAGGCCCTGGAACCTCGGGAAGGACACAGTAGTGCAGCGCCTATCATGTCTGTACATCTCCCCGCGAATACCTATGTGCCATTATGCATACTGGGCCAACAGCCTAATGCCACCAGCCGAAGCAATTAAAATAAATTGTATTATCGGATGCAGTTTGGTGCAGCAAGAATGGTTTGTTTTCTCAGCCTCGACATCAGGGTTTCAACCCCTCGCTCTGCACATCGCTTGTCCCCTTGAGCAAGGAACTTTCTCTGCATTGCTTCTCTCCACCCAGGAGTATAAATGGGTACATGGTGGGGTTGCCTGCTACTGCGCCAATATGGCAGCAACACTTAAGCATGTGGACACAATGACCAAGAAGACAAATTACTTTGTAACCTAAAGGATAGGTGGTATATAAATACCAAATAACAAACAAATAAATAATAAATTATCCATGAAAACAAGCAAAGCTGGAAATATATTACCCAAAGGTTAATTTATTTTTGTTGTGGCACCAGAAATCTCACTTCATAATTACCTACCTGTAAATCCTACAGTCCCACGAGCAAGTACTTCTGCATCAACATCTGAAAAATGACATAATAATGAATGTAAACATTTTTATTTATTTATTTTATTCTCATTATGCCTGCAAACCATTTCTGAAATGTATGTGATGTTATCCATGTGGATTGTTCTAGCTTACACCAGAGGTGGGTAAAGTGCAGGCCGACAGCAATTTTTTTGAGGCCCGTGAAAATGAATTGAAAACACTTGTTTTTTATGGTCCGATATTGATCATATGTAAAAAGTCACATAAAACTGAGAATAAAGTGGTATAAAAAAGCTGTATTTTTGGAAGCTCACAGGAAACATCAAATTGTCGGTGCAGCCCTCGGTGTTAAATCAAAAATTCACTTTAGCCCTCCGACCAATTTTTATGCCCTCCCCTGGCTTACACAGCCAGCCTCACTCTATGAATACCAAAGTAAAAGCAGAGTGCCATAATTATCTGACATAACAGTAATACAGTAGTACACATTAGTTCAGGGCTTCTTTATCATCATAAACAAAATAATTTTTTAAAGTATAAAACATCCAATCTACAAGTAGGTAAATGTTATTTTTTGCTCTTTGTTTCTTTTTTTGCATTTGTTTTGCCTTTATTTGGCCTGTGTTTTACCAACAGAGCAAAACAAATTTCCATGTTCTCCTGAACAATGACAATAAAATATTATTGAAATTGAGATTCCCATGGTTTGAACTTTGACAGGCACTATGCCTTCATCATGGAAACCTAGAAATTGTTGAGAGCAGGGGTGTCAAAATGGACCTTTCCGCTAAGCTCCACCCCTTAGATACCATTTCTAAGGTCCCACAAGATGACAGTGTTAAAACATACGCGATACCTGCGCTTGCGATTGTTCTAATTGGTCAGTTGTTTAGTTTGATTGACACTCCGTAAAAGGTCTATTGCCTTTTCAAGTCATAATGAGTAGAACTAAAAGTATTTAGAGGCTACCAACACTTCCCGAGTGCAATGCTTCTTGACAATTTTGTTCATGCTCCTACCTGAACCAACGGTCACTTTGTCCAAATATAAATGCAAGATATCCTTACGACCTTTCACATCTGGCTTAGGGACTGTGACACGAACATCAAACCTTCCTGGTCTTGTTAACGCTCTTTAAAAGATAAAAAATGGTAAAACAACTGAAAATGAGTCCTGCCAGGTTAGATTAGAGCCTGCAAATGCCAGTGATTCTTTTCCTATTGTTATTTGCAAAAGATTCATAGACAAATTATTCTGTAATTAAATCTTCATGACAATTTCTTTATCATTCTTGTTTAAAGCCCTGCTTCTCAAATCTTCTTAGGTGGTGACCCACTTTCAAACTTCCTATTCTTTGGTGACCCAATATTGTCATACTTCAATGATATTGTCATGTTATGTGTTGATTACTAGGCCTATTTACTTACCACAAGCTCAATAAAATCATAATTCTACTGTTTTCTGAAATACTGCCTTATTTTTTTAGAAATCTACGCTAGAATAACTTGATAGCCATAGCACTTGCCTCCTAATTTATCAAATAAAGATATACTGTTGTAGAATAGAAAGTGGCTGTGATAAATCAATTTAAATTTTATATACTTAACAAGGTACACAAGGCATTTGTTATCATGTGCATATCGTTCCATTATATAGTCTGGAGAACATTTACTACACTCATAATATTGAAATGTTTAACCTCAACTTGGACGAGGTTGACTGGGTAAATAATAATTGAAAATGAAGCTTGTACGTCCCCACTCTCGCGAAAAGGCAGAAAGGAACTCAAAAAGAAAAGAAGCAACTCATCATTTTAAACATGATGTAACTTTTATTTATTGACTGGTACACCATGTTAATGTGAGCTATGTTCCTGCCTAAATTTAATGATCTTATCAGTCCTTGGAAAGATTGGTGGCACTACATAGACTCTAAGTATTGGGTTGAAAATTAATTTCTAGCTTGCTTGCGTCTTCGTAGATACGTCTGGGTGTAACTCTTGAGTCCTTTGCAGAACAGCTTTGTAGAAGTATATTTCACTATATTTCGACAAGTGTTTAGAAGGTCAGAAGCAGGCTCATGACCCACAGAAATGTTTTGGTGACACAAATTTGGGTCACAACCCATAGTTTGAGTAGCAGGGGTTTAAACTTTATGTAATATAAGTAGACACAGGCACAATGTTTTTTTGATTGAAAGAGTGATTAAATTTGTCGGAAGAAAAAAATCTAAACTTACGGGTCTAGAGCATGTGGAATATTTGTAGCTGCCAGCACTACAATTCCTTGGTTTTGTCGGAAGCCATCCATTTCAGATAACAACTGGTTAATGGTCTGTCTGGCGTAGGGATGGAGTGGAGAATCAACTCTTTTTCCACCAACGGAATCCAGTTCATCAATGAATACAACACAAGGGGCACTCACTTTAGCTTCAGCTAGGTACAGTATTTAGAAGAAACAATAAAACATTATATTTCATAGTTTAGAATAAAATATGAGAGCAGCATAGATTAGTCAGCTACGCTGTTGGTCCTATATGGGATATGGGTCGGCTAAGCCGTTGGTCCTGTGTGGGATATGGGTCGGCTAAGCCGCTGGTCCTGTGTGGGATATGGGTCGGCTAAGCCGTTGGTCCTGTGTGGGATATAGGTCAGCTAAGCCGTTGGTCCTGTGTGGGATATGGGTCAGCTAAGCCGTTGGTCCTGTGTGGGATATGGGTCGGCTAAGCTGTTGGTCCTGTGTGGGATATGGGGTCAGCTAAGCCGTGGTCCTGTGTGCAGTATGGATCACCTGCATCTTAAAGAACGCGGTGTACTCTCCTAAAAAAGAGTAGGGTGTCTCCCGGCGTACTGTCCAATCACCACTAGAAAGACCCCACTGGAAATAAGTATTTGTGCTTCCGTGGGTTATCATCAAATCAAAGTGTAAATCTAATGCATTACATTATGAAACAAGCTCTAAATAATGTCATTGTGAATCAGTATATTAAACTTTTAAAATATTAAAATTAAAACCTAACTTGCATGAGGAAAACATGGCACTACAATGGCAAGTAAACATTTAAAAATCATTACCACCACTGTTTCCACCAAACCTAATGTTTTCAGATGAATTCAAATACAGTTTAAAAATGTGTAAACCAAATTAACAATTAAATAATAATTATAATAATATTAAGTTTATTCAATTTTTACTGTTAATAATTAAAAAATATATAGACCATTAAATTTATAGAGATATTATATAATTAAATACTGCATTTGAGTAAAATAAATACTGAAATCGCAATATTAATAATAACAGCAACTTTGGCATTATAAAAACAATTGTAATAGTACGACTTTGATTTAAAATTAATATTTAACTTTAGTGTTACTTACCAAATATATCCCTTACTCTCTTTGCTCCAGATCCGACAAACATGTTATCAAAATCTGAACCAGCAGCGTAGAAGAAAGGAACGTTGGCTTCACCTGCTACTGCTCGTGCTAAGAGCGTCTTCCCGGTACCGGGGGAGCCTACTAGAAGAACACCTTTAGGAAGCTTCCCCCCTAGGGATGTGTATCGCTCTGGGTCCGTCAAGTAGTTTACTATATCTTGTAGTTCTGATTTTGCTTCATCAACCTAAAAAAAGTATTTACATTTAAAATCTAATATTCTCGTAAAATAAACTATACTTTAAAACATAAAATCTAAGTAAATATTTTTACTTCTTAATGTGAACTACAGCCTGTGCAGCCAACTGAGGAGTCATCAATGGGTAAACAATTCTTTACAATAATAATGAAATTAATAATAACAATAACAAAAATAAAGTTAATACTTTAAAAATCATTTTAAAACTTGCAACCCTGAAATCCATGACTTGAAGACCAGTTATAATATTTGTTTTATTCTTATTTCAATTTGTCAAATTTTCTTCACATTGTTAGGAACAGTATTATTATAAAGTATTACATAAAATAAAAAACTTAACCAAATCATCATAATTTGCTTTATATAGATCATTAGAACATTTCAAGGACCTTTAATTTCTGACTGTAGGAATTGGCTATCAAAACCATAATTCATAACTGTTATCACAGACATCCACCATAAATATTCTGTAATAATGAATGCGTTTTGAACTCAATGGAAGAATAGGTTTCCAACAAAATGGTACAGTATATGTACGTGCAAAGAAGATGAATGTGTCAAAAAAACATCCATAACATAACTTACCCCTCTGACATCCTCAAAACTAACGTCTTTGACATTTAGAGTGTCAACTGACGATGGCCCTATAAGTGACACACGACCTACAGTGAAATTAAAGGGAAAATTGTTCATTTACTTGTAGATGCCTGCTGGTAAGAAGAGATACCATAAAACCTCAAATTGAAGCCTAATGGGCTTAGCCTCGAAAAGAGGCCCATCTGGGCTTCCTAGATCAGCCACAGCAGATCTAGCTCAAGGAAATGACCTCTTCCAACTAGGGACCCTTGCATGGATATGACATCATTACAGGTATTTCTATCAAACTAGAAAATGCTGACAAGTTTCCATTTTTGTGTATAAATAGTAATAATTCTCACTATTACAACTTGTTATTTACTCACCAAACATAGTCGCAAGTTTAACACTGTAATAAATGAGGACTGAGAGGATGAGAATGTTGATCCACATTTTCATGCGGTCTGTTTTCTTCGGTTCATCTCGTCCTTTTAAATATCCGTCAATGTAACCGGTCTTGAAGCTATCGTGGTCCGTTATCCTCTCCTCCTGAGCCGACAATGCACTTGATAACTTACTGGCTAAATTATCTGTGTCTTTTGACTGCTTACTCTGAAGATTCAAGTAATACCAGATTATATAGTATTTAATCGTTTGCTTCTCTTTTTAATGGACATTTCCGTAGTGTCAATCAAACTTTACTGACCTATCGGAACACGACCAGAAATATGTACATGTCCCACAAACACACATGTTGTCCAGCAAACGCATGTGTGTGTGTGTGTGTGTGTGTTGGGGGGGGGGAAGAAGGTGCTTAGTGGAAAAGTCCATTTTGTCCTAGTTTTTTGATATTCAAATCAATTACTTAATTTTTTTAAAAGGTGTTGAATAAAATGTTCAAAGAGTCAACAAATTTATCTTTATTATGATGTTTGTGCTTCCCGGGGTTAAAGGGGGTTGAACTTTGGCTCCTGTGTGCATGCTAAAAGAACACTATATACTAATTAATTGTAATTTTGATGTCACTACATAAACTATTTTAAGATGATCAGTGAAATGCATGAAAGGAAAATTACTTTGAATATTAAAAATTCCGATGTCACATACACACAAAAAGGGTTCATATAACATGATGTTGCTTACCCTAGTAAACCATTTTGGAAGGAGGGTTGACTCCACTTTTGTGTCATGTGTTACAGATCCAACTCGTCCAATCGATGCTGTTCTTGTTTTAAAGCCCCTTCTTGCCTGCCACTGACCTGGAAAAAAAAAGATTAGAAATTAGTTTATCTCAATCTTGAATACGAAATGCTGGATTGGTGATGACTGGAAAAGATGATCATGGGAGAGTGCAGCAAACATTAGAATGACCCATGCCACAAACATACAAAATATTTCAACAATAGTATGAGTATTTTGGCTTGCATAAAGGACTTTTTCTGACAACTCCTTAATCCTTATAATGCATAAAAATGTATGATTATGGCAGCTTTAGATGGCCAGAAATGGCACTCTCAGACTTAAATTTGATTATAGTTTTAATTTTCTTCTCTACGTTTAAAAATAATTTTGACCAATTTAGGAGAAGGGCCGGCTCAGCCCACCCTTCAATCCGCCAATGATTTCAGAGGGCCCCTGAATATCAGCCGACCCAGGATACGCTGGAAGGGTCACTCTCTATAAATATGGTTTAAACAAAAATCACGCCAATTTTATCTTTTTTAAGTACTACTCTTAAAGACATATTGTACTTGCAACCAATTTCTCTATTGGTATGGTAAATACTAAAACTTACCATGAGAATTCACCAATACTGACAGGGGACCGTTAGACCTTTGGGTTTCCTGTGAAAGCTGATGCTCTAAAAATCCTGTAAAATTATAAAATGAAAAAAATATTGTTTTGCCTATATTTCATTCTATTAAAAATACAGTATACCATCAGTGATGAGTTAAACAAAATAATATTTGAATTTTTTAGTTTGTATATAAAATACAAAAGTAAGATATTTGCTTTTTCTTTTGCTTAGAATAAACAAAAAAGCCCTGCAATTGTATGCACATAAATATAATAATATTATGGATAATAGTAAGCAATTAGTATAGTTGAATATCATACACTAGTGGAAAAATAAATTATACAAAAATTAGATTAATGCATGAAAAAAGATGGACGGCCCAAAGGAATTTTTTTGAAGCATTTCATTTATCTAACCTGAGAATAGTAATTTCCTCTAGTGTCATTTTAACGTTAGTTTTGTAAACATATTAATATTCAAACAATTGTAGCAGTATGTCTAAACTAAATTAAATCAATTCTCTGATATTATTTACAACCATACACCTACCGTGTTTGTTGTAGAAAAATGACCCTGAGGAAACATGTGACTCAGTCCATAACATTTTCCTTGGATTCAAACTTGCAGGTAATAAGGAGTTGAATTGGATGTCTTCAGTAAGCAAGTTCAAACCAAGTTCCTGAACATTTAACAGAACCTTGTGCAACGAAGGAAACAGAAACAACCAAAAATAATATTTAATAAATCTCATGATTTCATGTGAATTTATAAAGTTCCATCACTAGAAAAATTCCTATTGTCTTCAATTTTCCTCTTATTGCATCCAACGTTCGACTAATTGTAGGTGTTATATTAAAGTATCCAAAGTCAATCAACATAAACCTATGTTGCATGTATGTTTGTCTATGTTGATGGAACTTGTTGCAGGCATGCACTTCTAACTTCATATTGGTTTATAACCTCCCTGCAGTAGTTAGGGAAATATAGCGTATTGCACTACAATAAATGAGATAAAATCCAATTACTTACATTGTCCAGGCTTTCTGAGCATATAGCATTGTCCCTTTTCGTGGATGTGACATGCTTCCTTTGTGGTGTTGATCTAGTGACCACACTGCTGTGTGCTAATGCCTTAATGGAATGAAATGCAGCTGCAACTTGGCTAAGCGAGAGAAGATGCTATTAGAAGTACGGTAAACAAAAACAAAAAAAAATCATTATTTTATAATTTATTAAAAATGAAATCAATAATATCGCATGTTTTATTTCTTTAACGTTCAAATTTTGACTACTACTACTACTACTTCTACTACTAGAACAACAAAAAACTGTGGAATGTCAGTAGAAGGAATCTATGAGAGAATGCTTTAGAGCTGCAGGTTCTTGCATGTGTGATTTGAAGGTCTGTCCTACTGTACTGTAATAATAATAATAATAATAATGATAATAATAATACTAATTTATACGGTGCAAATAACATGGTTAACTTAAGGTGAACTTACAGAAACAGCAGAAAAATTGACGCAGATTATCCTGAAATTAACTAAAAAAATAAACTACAAAAACAGACTAGTGCAGGGAACCAAAACCATTGCACTGTTTTCTTGCAATTTGAGACCACTGTTGAAAAAATGGTCAGCAAGATCATTCCTCACAGGTGCTCTAATGGTTTTGGCATCTACTGTAAAACTAGCCTACCAAAGAAAAAAAACAGTTAATTGAAGAAAACAAAAGATCACAGAGATGCAAAAAGTGAGTTTTAAGCTGCTTCTTAAAAGTGGCCAACGAAGGAGACTCGCACATATGAACTGGCAGATCATTCCATAGTTTAGGGGCGGCAACACTAAATGACCTTTACACAAAAATTCTAAGACAGCATTTGGGTGTGAACAGTGGTGAAGTGCTTGAAGTAGATCGGAGTTTTCTTGTACAGGTTGTGGAGTACAGTGTAAGAAGACTATGTAGGCAAGTTGTTGCACTGCTGTGAAAGGTCTTGTATACAATATGTACAAGGAAAACAATCTTAAATACAATGCACTGCCTGAATGGAAGTCAATGCAATTTGAGTGTGGGTGTAATATGCTCTGATCTAGGAATGAGTTTAAAACGAGACGTGCAGCTTAGATTAGTTTACGTTTCTTGACTAATGTGTTGGGAAGTAAGCATAAAAAGCTAACTGCAATAGTCAAGTTTTGATGTTGTGAGAGCAGGGAGTTGTTATTTAGAGAGCATGCACAAGTTTGTTTGCTGCATCTTCCTTAAATTAAAGGAAACAGAGAAATAAGTTACATAGAGTGCATGTTGCGGCAACAGGGAAAATGAATATAAACTGTACAGTATTTAGGCCTACTATTAACAAACAAAAAAAAACCATAGGATGGAGTATAACTGCTACAAATCTGGGTGGGTGAAGTAGGGATCAAATGGCAGTGGTTTTGGGGGTAGAGATTTGTAGATAAATAAAGTCAGAAACGACCAACTAACACGATTTCCCTCAATTTGCAGATAAAAAAGTACACCTATATTACTAGTAGTAGTACTAGCTAGGCCTATTTATTAATATTATTATTACGTCATCAATCAATGGTTCTTATAAAATGAGAAGATTAGAAAAAATAATTAAATGAAAAATAAAAAATATGCTCAAACAAAGGAGGGACTCTACTGTTATTTACCAGGCAAGAAGGTATCCTCGGCCTAGTTAGAAATGTGTTAAGATCTATGAAGAGAAAATACCAATAGTAGTAGTACGTTTCTACCTAGACTAGGCCTAGGGCCAGATAGGCCTGGCCACCTAGGCTAGGCCGATGGGATGTACGAGTTAGTGCCGATTCAACGGCGATAACAACATGCTATCCGCTACTCTGTAGCGAAAATTTAGGGCTGCCTAGCATACGACACTAGAAAAGAGATCATACGTGCTTGACCATAAATAAGTTTGAAATAAAATTCAATCATTGTAAATCTAGCCTGTACGGACACGAGTTGAATGCATTACCTGCGAACCCACACTGTTTATTGAAAACATTTTTCTGCCAGAGCTTGATGATGTAACTTTTCCATCCACACTACTACTGCAGCCGGAAGTTCATTCTGTGAAATGAGATGACCCCATGTGTAATATAGGAGGTGTCAGAGCAGAGTGCATGGATGGGGTGTTAATGACCCCATGTGTAATATAGGAGGTGTCAGAGCAGAGTGCATGGATGGGGTACCAAGCGCGTTGCCGCGGCGCTGATTTTGAAAGCATATAAAATATTAATGAATAAAAATAAATGTGCACCCCCCCCCTTTGTACATGTGTCAAAAGTTTAAAGCTTGTTGTGTTCTTGTTAGCCACTAATACAAATTCAAATTTCCAGGGATCACTTAAAATGAATCTTCTAAACTATGTAAATATGCATCAGCACGCGTTAGGCCTCTACTAAAATAACACATAAAAAAACACAAAAAAAACACATAGGCCTAAGCGTGATTTAAAAAAATCTTAAATCCATAAATCCCAGGCCAAGTCTTTTCAGATACAGAAATGTGATATTGTATTCAGTTTGGTTTTTTATTCTTTTGATACGGTACTCTATAAAGTTTTGTTTTAATACTGCAGTACTACTAGGCCTAGTAATAATAATAATAATTATGATGATGACGATATGATGATGATGACGATGGTGATAATAGAATAATATTAATAATATTAAAAAGTGAAGAAAATTGTGCTAAAGGCGAAAAAGTAAGTTGTGATTTGTTGATCACAATTGTTATAGTATAGTTAAAGCTTAGTAAGCTATGCCTAAGTTGTCCTAGTTAAAGATCGATCCCTGATAAAAGATCATGAAAAATTTCAATTGGCGTTTCATTTTGACTATATAATTATGTTGTGATGATGATGAATTTTGCTATATAAAAGTGTCACTTCCGGCCATCTAGAGGTACTATTTAGTCAATTTCTCACCTCACCGCGGCTTTGAAGTAGGCCTGTGTAAAGTACATACTCAAAAACAATGTTTGTACCGTAAGCTTTTTCTATGGTAGGGCCTACATCACACCATCACACATATTGCTGAAAAATGGTTGCCGAAAATCCATAAAAGATCACTGGGAAATTTGTTGGCGCTTCGTTTTGAGTAGGCCTATATAATGGTGATGTGATGATGGATGAATTTTACTAAAAATGTCATTTTCTGGCCATCTAGACGTACTATTCCCTCAAATTTTCGCACCTCAGCCCCAACCATGGTGGGTCTGAGGGTGGGTGTCAACTCACGAAATGTCCCCTGCCCCATCCTCCACATTTCAAAACAGATTGCGCCCTTCTAGTGTATATGACATTAACTCCATCGAGTAGACACTTGGCTCAGAGTAGGCCTTGTACAGTGACTAAAGATGAGGCGAGAATGCATAAATTTGTTTTCAGTACGGTTGTGATCTGGTTTTACATGCCCATTTTTCGTGATTACTTTTACAAAACACGCGAGCCCGACTTCATATGACCCATGGACCATGTCTAAAAAAAGAATACTATGTTGGTGTGTCACCTCATTTTTGTGTACATGGGATGTAACTACACCATGACCACGAGAACCAGGAGAGAAATAAAAGTCCAGAGTTTAATCATTGTTTATTGTGTTTTAATTACTGCCTATTGAGTTTATAATACACCGCAAAGAGGACATGGAAACAACATACTGCGCCATTTATTTCCTTAATTTCTTCGTTTATTAATAGACACCCGTTTTATATATTCCATTTAATGGCACACTTTACACACAATATTTTTATTATTATTACGGGTGGCTGTTACGCCGTATTTTGTAATAATTGTCGTATTTTGTAAGACGGCATTGCCGAAATCGTAAGGAAAAAAAAGTTGGTAATACTGTATTATAAGTTGTATTTACGGATTAGCCCTCTTCCCTCGCTGGTGGCGCTGCGCTAAGTACAGAATTAACGGAATCCCAAGAGAGGATGCTCTGGGATTTACGTGTGGTACGTGGCTAGAGACAGGATATTCTTCTTTGGAATGCAATCAATGCTCGAAACCTCGATCATTGCTTCCAGTAATTCATAGTAGACATACAAGTTAACAAGAAACGTGTTAAAATGTCGCTGTCTTCTTTACGGTTACTGCGTATGGTAAGTCATGCAGCTAGGTTCTGTTGTCATATAAGTTAACGAAGGCTGAAGAAAGCAGGCCAAAACTATATTTTTTGGAATAGCGGAGACTGGATCAGCAGAGAGGAGGAGAATGATTGAAAGGTGATGGTACCCCCTCGTCTGGGCCAGGCCAGCCTACTTATATATCAATTGGCCTGTCCTCAATCAGTGTTTGTTGGCTGTAGGCCTGATGTGTAAAAGTTCTCTTTAAATCAGACATGGAATCTCTGAAATACATTATACTTGAATAAGTGTACCATATTGTAAGGACAGTCTAGTAGTAGTAGAAAGGCATTGCCAAAAAGCCAGACACGCTTCAATTTAAGTTTAATAATTGGTTGGTTGATTGATAAATCAATAAAGTTTAATTTGGCCGATGTTAGCTGATGATAGCTGATTGGATGGCTGCTCTGATTTTCCATGTATGAAGCAAAATTTTATTAAAAATCAATTGACAACATAATTAATAATAATAAGCAATTATTAGAGCTCCGCATACATAGTATACTAGCCTATAGGAAAATTATTAATTATACGAAGATTAGACAATTTTCAATTACAATTCAATTGTTATTGTGGTGCAGTGCGCGATCTCTTCTCGGTGACCAAAACTTAGGTATTTATTTTGCACACAAACCTAGAAAAAAATCAAGCCAAGTGTCCACTATTGAAAACTTATTTGACTGTGGGGGATATAGTCAAATAACATTGTTGGGAGCTGCAGTGATGACGTCACGATTGACTTAATTAGCCTAGACCTACAGATCTGTTTTAAAAGGTGTAGGCCTAGGGCCTAGGCCTATTTGTTTAAATAATGACATCTACAATAAGAACTTATAATGAAATTATCCACTATACACTAAATTAAATACCGTAAAACCTCGAGTAAAAGCCCAATGTGCTTAATCTCGAGAAAAAGCCCATCTTGAATTGAAGCCCTTTTCTTTATTTTGCATGAATTTCAAACAAACAAAATAACTTAAAAAACAGCTTGCTTTAAGACCGTTTTCCACTGCTAGGTGAATTTATTCGTGCAAATGGAAAGTGTCTGTTCATGCGCGTGTGCATTCACATTTCTATCTGAGTTTTTGAGAAGCGAAAAAATGTACAAACAATCAGCTCAGGAAGCGAAACAACGTTTTGATTCACGCGAATAAATCTGCCTATTGAAAAACAGGCTTTATATATACAGTAGTTTAGATGATTCAGTGTCGGTTAATACACTCCATGATACAGACTGATGTTACCGTGGTCCTATTTATTGTTTTATAGTACGTAATTCCCAAAATTTACCGCATTCATTTTGAAAAGAAGCCCCCCTCTTTACTTTGCAAAAGTAGCCTCGAAAAAGGAGCCCATCTTGAAAAGAAGCCCATCCAAAGGTTGCAAAAAAAGAAGAAGCCCAGGGCTTCTATTCAAGGTTTTACGGTATTATTATAACCTTAGTGCCAGGGTCCAAAGACTGTTACAGCATTACTAACTAGATTAAAGAAAATATATATGTTGGAAAATGAGTTTGCATTCACAGTATGATGCGAAATTGATTCACGGCACGTAAGTACCGGTGGTTTCTACCAGTGTTTGTAGAAAAATGGTAGATGAATGTTGTTAAAGCAGTACAACTACAATGTATATATGTTCAAGCTTGCTGTACACCACGTAGGTACATAGTTCTGAAAGAACTGTTGTAGTTGAGAAAGTCTCGACATTTCGATTGAGTTGCTTCAATCGTCTGCAGGAGAATAATATCTGTACAATGTATGATATAAGCAGTACAATGTATGATATAAATCGGGAAGTTGTCGCATTAATTTAATAATTGTGGTTCATTTAAATGTTGATTGTGCTATTTCAAATTTTGTTACTGAAATATTTAAAGCATAAGTTAAATTTCCGTCCAAGCATAAAAACAACTTCTGAACTTAGAACCATATAATAACTTTTAATTTAAACCTCACGTACAGTAGGCCTTCTGTAAGCTTAATAATAGCAAAAATTTTTGGTAACCTTTACCGTTAAATTTCTTTTGAGGCAATACACTTGTAAGTTTCTCTGGAAGCCCAAACATAAATGTGTACATTAGCAAAAATTAAGTACATAAATTTGTAACTAGCTTGGCACAGTATTACAATTTTTTTTTATTCACTTTATAGCCCTCTAGACAAGGCTTTTTAATCTCAGTTTTACGGCATGCATCATCTGATGCCAATGAAGCATGGACGTTGCAGGAACCGTTGGTTAAAGATGATCCAGAAATTAGTGCATTGATTAAAGAGGAGAAAAGCAGACAAGTCCGTGGACTGGAATTAATCGCTTCAGAGGTACTGCACTAAGATTTTTCTATGTATTCTTTCTAATCTAATTAAGAAACATTAATTTAATAGTCAAACTCTCCCAGCCTGGCATATAGTAATAGTGTAGAACTTTGGCTGTAGAAAAAGTGATGAAAACCTTGATTGAAATTTCTATTCTGAAAGTTAGATGTCACAGCTACGGTCCACACTAAGATGTGCTACTACAATAATTAAATGTATTTTATAAAAAAAAAAATTCTTACCCAGAGACAATAACTTTACAAAAAACATTTATAAAATTTAATATTTGGCTTAATTTGTATAATTAACTTTAGCTTTCAGTAAAGTTAAACAACAAAATGTTGTCCTCGTCAATTGAAATTGAAATGAATACTGTTTCTCGACTCTTTTCATAGACCCTTGTAAGGTGGTGTATATTACAACTGATTAAAATGTCTAGAGTTCTGTAGCTGTTGTAATTTTACACTTTGTTATAGACTTTATTCACATCAAGGTACAAGGTACATGGGTACAAGCTAAAGGTGTAATAAACAGTGCCAAATGCCAATGGAATGCACATAAACAAACTATGCTGCATACCTATTACCATAAGGCCTATAATCAGATATGAATGCTATATATTATACTGTTCAAACAGATACTAAAGATGGTTACAGAATTTTGGTGGTTATAAAAGTAAAGATCAAAACAATAATACACTTCGGACCATGGTGTATCCATTTTTAATTAAAACCCAATGTAGGTCTTCTGTAACCTTAAATTATCACAGTTGTGGCACAAGCATTGACAAAGAAAGATTATTTTTGACTTGAGTACATTAAGTACTGAAAATGGTTGCAGAATTTGGTTACAAAGACCAAGAACAACCAGGAAGTTGTTTCTATAATGACTCCTTGGTTCAACATGATAATGACTTTTCATTAACAATTAAGATTCAGCAGACAATATTAGGATAGTGTGTGCTGTATGATTTTTTATGTGACTTGACCTTTGACACATCCGTCGTTGAAACTACATGGGTCTATGATGGCTGTTGCTTATTTTTATTGTTCTTTACCCTTAGAACTTTTGCAGTCGAGCTGCAATTGAAGCAATGGGGTCGTGTCTAACTAATAAATATTCAGAAGGCTACCCAGGTCAAAGGTTAGTATTAAATCAATTTTTAAAAATAATTCTGAATGATTGATTTAGTAAACACTTGAAGTTATGGTAAACTACAGTGTATGCAAATTTAACATTATCGATGATAATGCAAATTCAACAGTATTGAAAGCAATATGTTAGATATAAACCATATTAACTTCTTTTTTTAGGTACTATGGTGGTACTTATGTCATTGATAAGATAGAATTGCTATGCCAACAGAGGGCGCTAGAGGCCTTTGATTTGGATCCAGAGAAATGGGGAGTGAATGTACAACCGTACTCTGGGTCTCCTGCCAACTTCGCTGTCTACACTGCCCTCTTGAAGCCACATGACAGGATCATGGGTCTGGATTTACCTCATGGTGGCCAGTAAGTCGTCATCTTTCGGTTGATTATTAATTAATGCGGTCCTCTCTTAGTTTGATTCAAATTCGATACAAAGTATTGATATATTTCAACTTCAATTTTCATAAATTGGACAAAATTCGCCAATTCTAATTTTAAAAGATATTAATTAATAAATGATTAAGGATTATAATAAACTAAGGCATTTTAGGGTTAAATATTCGAAAAATGAATCCAAAATCTGAGTATTTTTCAGTTTTACGCTGACTTAGCTTTATAGTCGAACCAGTCGATCTTTAGACAAAATTATAATGAACACAGAAGTAATTTTAACATAAATATTTTACGGAATCCGTTCCTGAAATATACAAATAATAACATACCAAAAGCCCGAAAAAATCTGATCAGGGGAACATTGTTCATTATAAAGATATTTAATGGGTTAAAATCAAACATTTTATTGCACAACTGCTTTGCTGGAAGCGTATAAATGCACGTCGTTGCCAAGTTGTTGCTAACGAAAAAATGTGAATTATAGGGTAATACGCCCGCGCGCGATCCAAAAGCGGAGAACACATAGGTTTGTCACATCAAAGGGATCTGTTGCCGAGTGATCTCCTTCTCAATAATACCTCCATGGTTTGATTCAAATTCGATACAAAGTATTGATGGAGCTGCAAAGTAGTATTGATCTTTGGCACATACGTCATAGATTTTCCTTAAGCCTGTATAATTTGTCATGCTTTAGGGAAAACCATGCCACAGATATGCGTTTAAGCTATGTGATATTATAATTACCTTCAATAGTTATTAATACCAAGTAAAAACTCGAGAAGAAAGAAAACAAGAATCAAATCTAGGCTAGTCAAAAAAGATGTTTGGATATGATGTGTTAAGGCAGGCATTCACAGTGCCTGACGGCCGTCGGCCGATGTGATTCTATGACGAATGCAACGCCACAAAGCGTGCAACGGATTGTTTTTAATGATGATTTGTTCAGGCTACCACCGTTCAGCAGGCAGCGTCACGTCGCCTAGTGCTCTCAGGGAGCTTTTGGTTAGAATAATCAAGATAAAGACATTTGTTAATTGGTGACCACAGAAAAGTGATCTCTAATTGGAGGGATCTTTAATTGGAGGGGGTCTTTCATTAGAGGGAGACCTGTATTTACATTAGAAGTAAATTTTGGAAACTTTTAATAGAAATTTTTTAATTAGCAAAATTATTTTGATAATTTTATTTAAAAAATAATTCAGTTTTTTAATTAAATGTAATTGCACAATTATATATTTTTCTTTAGTTTAACCCATGGATTTATGACAGATACAAAGCGGATTTCTGCAACCTCCATTTTCTTTGAGTCCATGCCATACAGGCTAGATGTAAGTACAAACGGATCTCAGTTATTAAAATCACCTAGTATAAAATTGCAAGAGATCCGACTTCCCAGATTTTGTATGCAAACGATGAAACATTAAAAAAAGTACTACCACCAGATAGGGGCGCCCTATTTTTGAACTTGAAGGATGCCCTCTAGTTTGTGATAGTGCTTTTTATAGATAGGATTGCGTTCCAACAAAACCCTGGGAGTCGGATCTCTTGCAGTTCTATATTCTTATACTATCGTATGCTTGCTCTTCCAACTGAGCTATGGTAGGAGCAAGCTGATAAACATTGGAATTTCCCATTTTGATTTACTGTATGTATGAGTCAACAGTCAATAGAACTGAATATTGAGATGTATATGTTTATTACTGTTTCCTATGTCTGTGGTACAATGGAAAACATTTTTCGCGGTGAGTCAAGTGGCCAAGCGGTAAGGCAGGGATGCCAAAAAACCACAGCATTTAACATTGGCACTGGTTCGAGCTGTCCTCATCCAGCGTTCAGTTGATAGAACCAAGTTGTTTTGGATATGGACTTCAAATAATGATCCAGTGTACACATCTGACTCATATGCACTTCAAAGAACCCATTGCATCTTTCGGAAGAGTAGGGGGTGGTTACCCCTATGCTATGGTTGGATTGGGATTGGATTGGATTTATTCGGTTTAAACACCAAGGATAGCCCAACAAAAGTCTAGAAGAAGACTCATTTCCAGTGGGGTCCTTCTGGTGGTGATTGGGCAGTACACCGGGAGACAATCCCCTACTCTTTTCCGAAGAGTGTACTGCGTTCTTCAACGTGCACATGGGCCATAAATGCACACGGGACCTATGGCTTAAATGTCGGTGCACTATTGTAACTTGTATTTCAGCCCTCTAGCTGAAACACAACGAGAGGCAGCGATGGGAATTGAACCGGGGACCTAGAGATCTCCACGGTTCAACGCACACACAGTGGCTACCACCAGATTAGCCGACTGAGCTAAGCTGCTAAGTTCAACCCCTGTGGAATAATGTGAACATGAAACAACTACTATAAGCGGCTAGGTAGTCACAGACTACATCCATACGCAGTTCAGCACAATGATGCTGCTAATTGTGGGTTATTCTTCTCCCTTACCTTAATGTTGAAACATACATATTCAGTACAAAGGCTGAAAATTACTAAATTAGTGAAATGCAGAATTACAGTATTTTAGAAATATTACTACAGTGCAGCGTATTATGTTTTCAAAATGTAAACTAGATTTAGACAAGCTATGCTTATTGTTTACGTACACTGTTTAGTACAGATACAAATTTCTGAGAAAAAAAATGTTAACTGTATAAAATTTGATTATTATTTATTGTTACAGGAAACCACTGGGTTAATTGACTATGATAAGCTAGCAGAAACTGCAAATCTCTTCCGTCCAAAAATCATTATTTGTGGGTATAGTGCATACCCCAGGCTACTAGACTATGCAAGGTTTAGACAAGTATGTATACAGATAAATTCATTTGCCAATAAATATTTGGTATATATCAGGCAGAGAATGTGAAATATTTGTCTGTCTGTAAATAAGTTACACTGAATTACTTGCAGCAGTTCCGTGGATTGTCAGAGAATAGATAAGTAATGTTGTCAGTGAATAAAGCACCGCTACATTTCAGTCAATATTGTACAGTAAACATTGTGACATGCCAGTGAATAAGTTACATTTCTAGTGAAGTGACAATTTCATTGAATAACTATTATGTCACCATTAAATCAAGTATATTGCCAGAAAATATATAATATTGTCAGAGAATAAGTAACAATGTCAGTATTTCAGTTGATGACATTTATAGGAAAGATTCAATAACAACTTCAAAGCCCAGGGTGGAGACAGAGGTGTATGGAGAGCCATGATTGCCAACATCATTGGACAAGGCAGATGGCAAAAGGAGGAAATATTTATTTAATAATTAGCGTCTCATTGATTATAATATGTTGTTAGAGAATAACTAACAGTGTAGAAAAATAACAGTGTCAATGAGTTTGTGACATTTCCTGTCTTTTTTTTTTTTTAAATATATTGGTTATTATTTTTCAACAGATCTGTGATGACCAAAAAGCAATAATGTTTTCAGATATGGCCCATATCAGTGGACTGGTTGCTGCCAAAGTTTTGCCATCTCCCTTTGAACATTCGGACGTCGTCTCCACAACAACTCACAAAAGCTTGCGAGGCACACGGTATGTCTTCTAATGAGACAAGCATATTTTTTATGTATATACATTTTAAGATTTTGTTATTTTATATAATTAAATTTTATTTTTATTGTATGCCTCTTAGGACTTGACATTCCCTCAGTATTAATTAAACAAGCATTAATGCTTGCTTATTTGTTGTTTATTGGTTGTGTGAATTTTTACTAGTTCACAGTTGCATTGTTGAACATCAGTATTGTAACTTTGCACCTGTGGTGTACATACCCCACTTTTGTGCACCTCTGTTGATCCTTTTAATGTGACCCTGTGGTATGCATCTGTGTTGAACCCTTATGCTCTGCTGTAATACCATGCTGTGCATCTGTGCTATACTTCTATTTTGTACACCTGTGCTGTACTGTATGATCCAAAATCTGAGAAAAGTGTCCGTTCACACATAAGGACTTGAGATACTGAGTTTAAACTTTCTACTTACACTGATGATATGCGTATCTGTATACTGGTATAAATTTCACAATTAATATTAAGTGTCCACAGGGTCATCCGGTCAGTCAAAGTAGTGGGTATTTTTAGAGTCAATGGTCCAGCAACCATGTTCGTGACCCCATCATACCTTCATTATTGCTCTAATTACCTTGCAAACTTCTATGTAGCAGTATCAGCATGTCCATCACATGTTTAATTTTAACTTCCCTAGTTAAAAGAATGATAAGATACGGCCCTCTGAAAAAGCTCGAATCTATTTTTGCACAATGCTTTGGGGCGATTTTAGGGGCATCTGACATTGTAATGAAATATGCTACCCAAATCTGAATGGTATTTCTTGAAAGAGGGGTCAAATGTAGCAATTCACAAGTTTTTATCTTCATTATTCCCGAAGGTATAGCTTTGTAAAAACCGTACTAAGTTGAGGGAGCCATTACCTGAATGAAAAAGGGGGTATGATATTTAAATTTCAAAAGGTCATAACTTAAAAACCGCTTGGAAATTGAGGCTGCAATTTTGGATTCTTTTGACATACCAATGTATAAGGTGGGTGGGGGGGGGTCACAGGGGAACTTTTAAAATTTTTGCCTGACTTGAGGCAGAATGACCCTATGCACTTTTATCCCTTAGAAAATATGTAAGTGTTCTTGCATCATCTGCTTTAAGATAGTATCACCAATGAAATCCATCATTAACCTAATGCCATGCAGGTGGTTTTGCATATTTCTCCCCAACTACATATTGTGGTTTTTGCTTTCGATTCATGATTAACTAACCAGTCTGGACATACGCTGAAACCATTAAATAATGCAAGTCATCTTGAAATCCAGGAAACTGAATTGAAAGTTGTCATTATGTTTTTGTTTACTGGTATGTCCAACAATGGAGGTATTATACTAACAGACATATGGTGTTCTTGGAATGAGGAGGATTTGAGGGCACTTGGTACTGACAGTTGTGATTGTAATAAATGTTTGCTTAATTTATTAATCCAAATCAGAATAATCAACATATACAGGGATTATACTCAAGCCAGTCTGAAGGCTAAACTACAGAATTGATTCAGAAGAGGTTCCCACTATGTGGTGGACCTTCGGCCAGAATGGTTCACTTTTATACTTAACAGAATAAAACTGCCTTTGATAAACTTCTCTAGCTGGTGTTCGGTGTAATTAAAATTTCAAAAACCAGTCTCGTAAGTGTAAATGGGGCCTAAGATAATATTGACCAAATTGCATAATTTTCTGTAGTGTCTTTTATTCTTTTTATATTTATAGGAGTACAGTATTTTAAACTTGGTTAACTGTTGCTGCCAAGCAATGAAGCATGGACTTTTTAACCAAAAACTTTATGATCCTCAAATGATTATTACATAATAATATTTCTCCATGAAGCAAGTACAAAAATGTTTACACAGTATTATTTATTTATTCTCTTAATATTTCGTAAACATAGGGCTGGATTGATATTCTATCGAAAAGGCGTAAAAAGTGTCAGTAAGAAAACTGGAAAAAATATAATGTACGACTACGAACAGAAGATAAATTTTGCGGTTTTCCCGTCATTGCAAGGTGGTCCGCACAATACTAACATCGCTGGCGTTGCTGTCGCATTAAAACAGGTTGGTCTAATTCATGTATTCCAATCTCATAAAACTTGTTTGAAGATAAAGTAAAGTCAAAACTGGAGCTCTGGGCTCACAGACCGGAGTGCTTATCTCTCTTTCCTTATTATTTCTATGTGGTGCTATAAAAATCATAATCAGTATTTTGTTTCATTCTGTGCCTATGGAGACACATGAAATTTCATTGGTGAACTGCACATTAAATGGCATCATCAGCAATGACAAATAGTGTATTAACTTATTTGGGAGCTGCGCGACAACGGTAGGACGTAGAATGTAATGAAGTCAAATAAAATCGTGTGTGCAAGAACGTTGGGTTCTCATCACATGGATTCTACAACATAATTTGGCCGAATCTACGTTGTGCAGAGAACGTAGAACGGTCACGCATGATTGAATCCATTCTAGCATCATGTCGTCGCGCAAATCGACAGCTCCCTAATTTATATAAAATATGATCCAGTATTGACGAACATTAAAATTTTTCATTTATTTTCCCTCCGTTTCAATTGGAACCTGCTATAAACCTTTAATTTAAGGGTTATCAGGCAAAGGTAATCCGTCAAATGGCATCATAACCTTTAGTTACCATTTATTGTTATTTAAAAAAATTTTATCCAGGCCTGCTCACCACAGTTTGTCGAATATCAGAAGCAAGTACTCATGAATGCAAAAGCCATGGCTGAGGAACTCATGTCGTTGGGCTACACTCTCGTATCAGGTGAAGAAATTGCTTTTGGCAGTAGTTTTACTTTTTAAGCATCTTCATTTATAAGCATTTTATATTGTAATATGCTGGTGGCCAAGTTTGTCCAACAGGCACTCAGATTTTTTTTTTTTCATATTTCATCTTACAAGCTGTAATGTTGCGTGGTATAATTAGTTTAGTCACTGCCGCCCTCTACAGTTGAACTATCCCACTCAAGACGGCCGCGCTATGGTCCATTAAGCCTAGTCTAAGACATTTTGATTGAAATTAATCATGTTTTGATCACAAATCGTGTCTCTATCAGTTTGCTTTTATCAAAATTTATGCAAGCAAACTCATACATGAAATTGCTGAGAAAATATAATAAATTTCTACATGGTATTCAACATATTAAATGTATACTGCTACATAAATCTAAATTTAAAAAAGTACCAAAATTATCTTCAGCAACAGAAAGTATTTTTCTCACCACCTCTTGCTTATGTTAATAAATATATACTATACAATATATACTGTATAATTAATATATTGAGACAAATATTAAAATTATTTTTTTTTTTCATTTGTCTTTTCAGGAGGTACAGAAAATCATCTAGCACTCTTGGATCTTCGACCTAAGGGCATAGATGGAGCTAGAGCTGAAAAGGTTTTGGAGCTAGCATCTATCACTGTCAACAAGAATACTTGCCCAGGTGACAAGAGCGCCCTCGTACCAGGAGGACTACGGTTAGGTGAGTAACATAATTACCACAAAGGTATATATAAACTAATAAAAAAAGTCATCTAGGTAAACAATATAACATTGGTACAGTATAAAATCATTTAGGCAGAATATATTCAGTGTTCTTCTGTCAGTTGTTTCACTAAGTATTTTGAGAAGCAATTGATCAGTTATAAATGAATTATGAGTAAGAAATGAATGAAAAATATTCTTGAAAAATGATAAATTTACCAATACAGGTTTCCATCAAGACTACCCTTTAATTAGAAAAAAAAAAATCAAAAAGATATAAAGATAGGCAATTATTTAGGGCTTTTTAAAGGTGGTCTTTAATTGTAAGTGGTCTTATATTGAACTCATCTTGAAAGAGAGGAAAATCTGCATTTTTGGAACAATATTCATTTAATTGCCTTGGATTCATTTAAACTAAATTTTAAAATTCATCTATTTCAATCCATCCTGTCTACTCTGTTTCCATGTTCATATCTGCATTGTCTTTTTACGTTTCTATTTATTACTCCACTACTATATTCAATCCATGCTCTATGTATACTTTGGCGCCTTTGATCATTTATTTAGAAATTGGCACATAACAAATGTTTGTTTATTATTATTTATTATTATTATAATTAATCTTTTACAATATAACTTATACTGGATGTCTATTTTTTTTATTTCAGGTTTAATTTTCAAATATAAAATGGTAGCAATTATGAATCTGTTGTAATAAAAGAATTGTTATTCAGAAAAAATGAATAAAAATTCATTATTTTTTTTTTTTTGAAGGAGCACCAGCGCTAACATCAAGGAACTTCAAAGCAGATGACTTCCGTAAAGTTTCTCGGTTTATTGATCAAGGATGTGCGATTTGTATCGATGCAAAGGCACAATCAGGTATCATAGTTTTTTTTTAAATTACTATCTGGCTTGATTATTTTAAAGATATACTATGGTGTATACTGTGGTGAAATGTAGAAAAAAATATACTGTACACCACATTTAAGTAAAGTAATAATTATTTATTTTACAAAAATCAAAGAGTTATTAACAAGGGTACAGAGAAATGCATAATTAAAGTGCCTTTTACAAAGAGCACAACTAATATGAACAGCTTCAGCTCGAACTCACGATCTTTTAAATAAAAGCCTGGAGCCTTACTGCTGTGCCACAAATGCGGAAATCCTTTTCTACTGACACTGCACATATACACAGGCATGACGTGAAATCAATTGATTATTACTGTGGGAGACATTCCCCACTTTTTGCAATCACTCTACTATTTCATGTATCATGTTGAAGCACGTGGCGCAGCATGGTCATTCGGTTGGAAGGTAGGGGGTTCGAGCCGATGCTCATCACAATGCTTGTTCCCCTAGGCAAGACACTTTTGTGCATTTGCCTCTCTTCACCCAAGTGTATAAATAGATACCTAGTAGGAGGTGTATGATTTGGAGTGAAATTAGTAGTGCTGATTACACGCTAAACTGGGAATACTCCCAGGAAGCAGAGGAGATTGCACGTTGTGTGTGATTGATTCTGTACCCAATGATCAAGGAAAAGGCGACTTGAGCAGTTTTCTTGATATGTGCACTATATAGATCCTATTAAATAAAATTAATGTATTTCAACGTTTACATTCCGTTTAAAAAATTTGTTCTTACAGGAAAATCAATGCAAGAATTCTTCGATTTTATACAGACCGATGATAAAATTAAATCAAGAATTTCCGAACTGCGCAAGGAAGTGGAAGAATTTGCCAGCAGCTTTCCAATGCCAGGATTTGATGACCATTAAAATTGAAGCCAATCTAAAATGCTAATGCATTAGATTTTGGCTGTATAAAGCCCTGCCCTATCAAAAACATGTGACATGCCTAAATATGGTCTTGATGACATGACACATCATTACCTTATATAGGCACATCATGACTATATATGGGCATACAACAGTTTTTGTCAAAGAATATTTGTGGACAGAGTTTAACATTCCAACTGGTTTGATATACAGTAAAGTAATGCATTAGCTTATTTATATGCAATTAGTGAAGGCGTGGGTATATAGTACACGTGGAGTGGATCCCTGGTTTTCGGGCCATTTTAGGTTGCAACCCATTTTCAGATACCTTATATTGAGGTGACCCAAAGCCCACATTACATTGCTGGCAAATTGGGGAATGCTGCTGTTTTGGGAGTACACACCGATCTCAGTCCCACCATGGTTGGAGCAGAGACAAGCAAATGTTTAGCTTATGTCGCCTCTGTATCTCTGAAGATCACGCTTTTTTATGCATTCTGAGTCAACTTTAATATTAGAGGATATAAGTTGTAGTTTGATAAGAAAACTTGGTTTGGATTTGGGACTTGATTATAACAACCATTTTGTTTGGAATTGATTTTGTGATTAGAAAGAAAGTATATACGTGGTGCGGTCACTGGAAGAGACACTTGTACAAGCCAGGCCGTATTGCGATGATGCATGCTTGTATTTTTTAATATAATCATGCTGATTTATGGTATTAACACCAAGAATTGTTATATTTACGTAGCAATTAAAAATAAAGATGAGAAAATTTCTTCTTGTTAGAAATTTTTCCAATCTGTTTACAGGAAACGTATCTTTTCAAAGCATGGACAAATTCAAATTCATATTTTGTGTTCGAAGCTGGGTTGAAAAGTGCATAAATTGCCAATTTTTGTTTTGACATGACCTTGTCTAAAGATATTATTGGTCAGGGTAAGTCTTGTGATCCATGGTTTGAGTACCATGGCCGTAGATAACATTGCTGTGCACTTATAGAATAGTTTTTTTAATTACAACTCAAGATGTAGGTACATTTGTGATTTAAAATTTAACAGTATGAAGTGACCATAATATCCAAGAACCCTAACAGGGTTTCCAAGCCTCGAGGTTCCTGACAAGATTTCAAAAACCAGACACAGATTCTACACCCTGAGACCCACCAGGGAGGGAGAACATTTTTTGAAATAGGCACCTCTACATTCCTGGAAATAGCCATTTTAACAAATGTATTTTCAATGCAGTTTTTCCCAACAAAATACAACTTCTACCATGGGGGTCCAGGATTTTCTAATGGGGGTCTTGTGCCCTCTCTGGAACCCCCAGTATGTGAGGCGCAGCTGATAAACTAATAATAAGTGTTAGAATGTTCATGTATTAATAGTTTATTTCCTTACGTTTTGTGTTGATAACCTCACGAAGGAGGCAGTGCAGCTGAATCCACTGGTATGAGGCACGTGTTTTGGATTATTATGTGTGTGAATTTTCATGGATTTTTTTTATTAAATGGTTTTTTGTTTTTCCATTTTTATATAGAAATATATATTGCACACAATATTGACTGTATTGCACACTGTATTGGGTATGGTGGTTTTTGCTTTTTTAATCTGTTACCAAAGAACAGTTTAGTCCATTACTGGTGGTTCACATAAGTTATAGGCCCTCTAGATAGGTCTCTGTAACTATGTTAGTACATATATTATGTGTAATGGAATTTAGGCAACATTTCTACCTCTTTTCTGTCCACCTTTGTATGTTTAAACGTAGCGGTGGCACCAGAGATTCTCGACGAGGGGTCAAATGTTGCAGGAAGATGTTCCGAGGTTCCCGAAAGGGGCCACACCCACCTCAGCCCCACATTGATTGGAGAAAATTTTAGATTTGGAAATGGCATTATCAGACTGTAAATATGCTTTAAAGCAGGGTCTCCAGATGAAACTGTGTCCCTGGACCCTTAGCAGTTTTCATATGAAATTTAATAATTTTATCAGTTTGCAGTATGTACTGGTTAAGAAATCTTTCAAAATATGCCATATTGAGCCTAGCTTACATATTGATAAATATCATTTCCAGATTGGTTTCAAATACATGACAATACTTACCCTCTCAATTTTAACTCTACTGCAAATAAAGATATATTAGAGTATATTGATCTGTTTTTGCAATGTACGTGTCAAGATTGCAGTTGTCAAAATGATGCGTGTTCTTCGGTATGGAACGTTACTCTTTTCAAATACTCAAGTAAAGCAAAATATACAAGCTGTCCAGTAAAGAGGAGCACACAATAATATTTTAGAAGCAAACCAGTGGCATTAGTAATGTCCTGGACACTCGCAACTAAATTTACACTTGCAGTATTTTTAGATGAAGAATCAAAGTAAAAAAGAAAGAATTGATCAAGGTGCTTTTTTCAATCACGTGGAATGGGAGTATTCCTAGTCAGTGACGGATCCAGCAATTCAAAAAAATGGGGAAAGGAGGGCCCCAGGGAAATTCTTTCACAGACGGAAGATCTGGCCCACCATGGTTGTTTCATTTTCCTTCTAACAGTTACCCATTTATACTCCTGTTTGAACAGAAACGAATGTGTCTTGCAATACACAAGCAATGTGCCAGAATTAAGGCCTGTTTATACTTGAATGATAAGGATAAAAAGCAATTTTTTATATAATAAATAAAAGAATTTAATAAGGGAAGTTTTAAACTAGGACGATACGATAAAGATTTATGGTGTATACGATAACAAAATAATTTCACAAATCAATTTAAATGACATCATGGAACAATGATAAAGTTGTTGTTACCACGATTTTATCGTCTTTCAATGATTTCAATTGTTTTTGATTGTATACACGATAAAATTGTTAGGGAATCGTCCTAGAATAAAAAGTTCTCTCATTTCTTTTATTTTCTATATGAAAAATTGCTTTCTATCGTTATCATCGCAAGTATAAACAGGCCTTTAGTCTAGAAACCACTGCATCTCGATCATACCAATACGCCACACGACATTTGCGTCAACACAAATTTTATCTTGGGGTTGGTAGAATGTTTGACATGTAAACAATGAAACACACATGTACTAGAAGGTTTTTTTTTTTATTTCGGTGGCGGGCATTGTCAGTCACGTTCTTGAGCTCGTCGTATCTAAATTTCCGATGCTCACTCAAGAAAAAAACTGTGAGAACAATAATGTACAATCAATAATAACATGTAGCTACCTGTAGATGACATTTTATTACATAAACATTATTTCATGATTGCCAATTAACATATTTACTCAGTTGTAAAATGTAGAAGAAAATTGAATTGAGAAATACATTCATTATAAAATAGGCTCTTAAATAGCACTGTAAGGCTGTATCCTGGGTTTTTACTGGTTTGTATTTCATGTGGGAAATTCACAACAAATGCGATATTGGCAGTGAAAAAAACAAATTATTTCATAGCAACAGTTGATATAATGAGCACACGGGCGGAATGACATTATTACATAATTGGCCTAAAAATGTGTGTAACAGTAGAAACAATTCTATGGTTCGATATGAATTCTCTTCCTAACAGACGGAGTCAGACACACTTTGGCAGACCCAGGGGTGGTTGAAGTAGCAACAAAATAATCCCATAGGAGCATAACCATATTCCCCTGAATCCCAGCATCACAAGGAAGGGGACAGTGCTCTCAACCCAGACCGTCCCACGTTCCTTGATTTTCTGCCCTATCTCCCTCCCCCTACTTGGCACAAACTATTTTGGATCCTCCCCTAAGGTATTCCTAAATCATTGGCCTGTGTTAGAGTACAGTATTTGGATTTTGTGCAAGACAAACAGCACCAGTCCAGTTATTATTGCAATTTTACTTATTACCTCTTAAAAACAATTTAGAACCATTAATTGTTTTGTCAAGTATTGTTGAGTTTTTAATATAAAATGAACAGCCTTAATTAATTTTCCAGGTATATTTTAATCGATTAGGCTATAATGTCGTCACATTCCACAAGTACGCTAATTAACCTGCTAAGCTAACTGTAGTATTGTAATTTTTTGGGTTTTTGTGTTATATACGTAGATATATTTATTCCTCCGTATCACCGTGCATACTATTGATTGGGGAAATTCTCTCTAGAAGAGAACGAACTTCGAATCCTATCTATAGTATGGTGTGGTATTAAACCAATTGTTCTTAAACAATGAGTCGCCACACAAAAATTGAAATTTATATCTTTGCTGAAATTTTCAGTTGCAAAGAGATTAAATTTTAAAGATGTATTATCCCCTGAAAATGACAAAAACTTATTTTGAAACAAAATTGCTCACTTTGCAACAAACTTGCTCACTTTGCAATGAATTAAATTGATAATTTTTATGTTACTTCATTTTATGAGTATTTGGTTAGTTTGCATGGGACAATACATCTTTAAGTATCATTTTAAAATTTTTACTTCAATTTTGTTTTGCAACAGTTTATAACAGAATTTGAGTTTCTTTTTTTAAACATCCTGAGAAATGGCAAACTGCCTGCAGGGCATTTGTTTGGGTCGAGAGCCAGAAGGACTGGACACCAAGGGTTTTCAAAGTAATGTTTTATCTAGTATTCATTATTTTTTTAGTTCATCCGATTCCACTAAGCAACACTATTCTAATGCATTGTTACATTCTACAGAACTATTCTGTTTGACAATTTAAACTACAAGAATAAACATAAATTCACATTTTCAAAATAAGCTAAGATTCCAAAGTGCTGTGTTCAGTTGTGGTGCCAGGATATCGCCAACGGAGGGTCTGACATGCCAGTGGGGTCATGCTAAGCTCCTGGTACCTAGACAAACTAGACAATGTTGGTCATTATAGAAAGTGGTATGGCCAAAGAATTAAAATATAAGAAAGAAACGAAGTTTTTTTTTTTGCATTTCATTTCTAGTCCTAAAAGTCATTGCCAATTATGGTCTGTCCAATGAGGGATTTTAAGTTTCCCTTCCCTTGCCGCTGGCATCACCAATGTCTGTGCTCTTAATGAAATGACACTTAAAGAAACGTAGTTGGGATTGATGCCAATATAAATATACTGAACAGTGAAAATAATACAATACTTATAATGAACTGACGACAAATAAACAAGACAACTAAATCTGACAAATGTCCTTCTGGAAAAATAAAAACGACACCAAGAATTGATCAATGCAATATAATTACAACTTTCACTAATTTAATTACTCCTGCTTCGTTCATGGCTCGGTGGGGCTCACTGTCAATGTGTACGTACATATTATTGATTACTGACCAGGATTTTATTCTTATAACAAATTACTACCTAAGGTTCATAATGAGGCTCAAGTTATAGAGCAGTGCTTCAATCATTTTTAAATTTTTTAAATTTCAAAAATGAATAAAAATATTTAACTTTAAACTTCTCTGATTGAAAGTGAGGGTTGATATGCTGAACCTCTATTTGAGTTGAGCAAACCATATCCCTCATCTTCAATATTGTTGGAATGCTTAAAACTAGGTGACTACCTGGAGCTCTGGCTCTTGGAAGAAACAAGTGACAAGTCTTAAGGAATATATGTTACGATCCAGGATGCACTTTCAACAACACAGTCCTATTATTTGGTCTACCTTACGCCAGGCATGCAATGCGTCAACGCAATTCAATGTAGACCATAATGCGATGAGGTCTGTGCAACGGACATTGTCGACTTTCACTAATAATCAGCAGAGAGCGTAGCCAAACACTCTCAGAGAGGAGATGGATTCATCACCCGATAGTGCTATGACACATTGTGCGCCCAGCATTAACAGAGGTAGGGGGGTTTAGAGTAATGAATAATAGGAAAATTATAAGAATACCTGATACCTGGTGCTAGTGGGCCACNNNCCCCCCTTCCCCCCCCCCCCCCAAAAAAAAAACTAAGAAAAAACATAGAAAAGAAAAGAGTAAGTGGGGAGCATGCTACTCCAAGCATTTCTAAACAAAAATCTCCAACACCACCCAGCTCGGTGGTTCGCACATCGCATGGCTCCTACTCTGATTTTTCTATGGATCATACCCTGCTTATGGGTCAATTGAACAACCTGAATGCTGACCTTAGGTTTGACTGTCAACGCATTCGTGACCTCCAACTAAAAAATGAGTCTTGTTTCACTGTGCACCAGCAAAACTGAAGACTTGTTTCCAATGGGGTCCTTCTGGTGGTGAATTTGGCAGTACACTATGAGACAATCCTACTACTTTCCCCAAAGAGTGAGCCATATTGCACACAAGGGCAAGGTTTTAAACGTTCCTTTCCGAAAGACTTTGTGCATATTGGAATTTGCATTTTAACTCTACATCTAATACACAAGGAGAACAGCAATGCAAGTGAACCATGGACCTCCACAGTTCAGTGCAGAGAGTGGCTACCACCAGTAGCTGGCTGAACTATACTCATGCCCTCCATATGAGAAATTGCTTACAATAATTGTTGAGTCCTTTAATGGAGATATGGAACATCAGAGAGAGAAAATAGATTTAGAGGATAAGCCACTTAATAGTATTGTGGGTCTAACATTCAAAAGCTTTAAAATTGTGTTTTTACTTACAATGTACAGTAAGTCAATATACAGTAAATCAATATACAGTAAATCTTGGTTTCCATACAACCGCTACATGCTATTGCCGACAGCTTTTGGTGAATGGTCGGTCAAATATGGGAGTGCTGATTGCGCCGGGGACTATACGCAGTACAACGATTGCATTAAAACACTGTAGAGACAGTGTAGCGACTTTAGGAAAAAAAAAATAGTAGGTTACGAGTGTTTTTTAAGTATTATCTCATGCCGACACAAGGTGCAACATGGCTCATTTTGGAGTGGAAGGTCACATAATTCTTTAAAAATCATCAGAATAGATTTCTCCATTCTTCTAAATTTAATTTGTCTTTGAAATTTCAAGCATTTAAAGCCTGCAGCTAGCTATAAAGTAAAAGATATGATCTAGTGGTTGTAGTGCAATAAACATTGTCAAATACACCTTATTGGTCCACTTTTCAGTGACATTGCAATGAATTTTTTAAAATATTTGATCTGAGTACTAATATTGATTATACATCTAGAAATCTATTTAGAAATAAAAATTATTTGACACTGCTAACAAGAAAATTTTTTTTTTTTATAATTATTTTTTAGGTTTTGATTTCAAAATTTTTGTAAAAGTTAAAAACAAAACAAAGCTATATTAGAGACAATAATGAAACCCAAAAATTGATAAGAATGATACTGAACAAAATACTAATTAGGCAATTACTTAGATTGATTCATTACTGATTACAAATTCTCATTTCTTAGTTGGCTTCTTCTTTGATCGCATTCGTTTGCCTCTTTTGACAACAGGTTTATTCTTTATATGTCCTTTCTTCTTTTTTGAATTCTGAAAATAAATAAAAACTTGATTTATTGCAAACAGAGTTATATTATGTACACAGTATTGTAAAGATATAATCTCTAGGATAAAACCTAAAAAAAGGAAAAAAAAAAAACAAATGAATTTCTCACATGAAAGCATTAAACAAATTGTTGTGTGCTTTGTGTAAAGGTAGGAAACGTTAATGTTATGGTTGTAAAAACAACCGCCCAATGTTAACACAAAAAATAAATGGTAAGGAAAGGCAATATATTCAAAATATTGTTAAAATAGTTAATCTAGTGTTCTTGGTGCATTTTAGGCTTTGGAATTTATGTAATCCTTGGTAAACTTTGAGCTAGGCTAGGAATTGCAGCATGTCGCACTTACAGTCCGCGGATCGAAGACTTCATACCTAAACTTCCCACAGACATACAAGGGCCTAATCTCGCTATTTTGGGCCAGTATCATTTGGAGAATTTGAAAACCATTATGACAATATATAATTGGTATTTATTCATTCATTCAATATATGTACATAAAATTGTTTTTTTGAAGCACAAGGCTGAATTGCGAAACAAAGTTTATAAAAAAAAACTAACTACAGACACATAAATCATAATCATTAAAAAATCAAGATATTAAATAAATATAGACAAATATATTGCATTATAGCTCAGCACAAAATCATTTAATTTAAAACTAATTTTAAAGGCGACACAAAATGATTTGTCTTGAGTACACTTCGCCATTACTTTACATTACAATTAACACTTTTAAGTCGAGGTATTCAATTGCTTAGAAGCAGACATTAATTATTATATTTAAGGCACATCAATAAATACATAAATGCATATTCTCAAGTTCAATTTACGAACAATGTTGTATAGTTTACTGGCATTTCAAACACCAATATTCAACATCAACTTTGTGCCTTAGGGCAGAAACAAGGAAGGGGGGTGGAGAGGGCCAGTGCTTATTTAGCCACCCTTGTTTGTAATTCTCCCTTGTAAAAAAAAAAAAAAAAATGCATGCGTAATTACCTTTTTAGTAGCAGTACTAGTCTTTAATTTTGTTGATTTCTTGGATGGTTTGGCGCTTATACGGTTATCTAGGTCAAGCACTCGATAAATGCGTACCAACCAATGTTCTGAAGTAAATGCTTCTTCAAGATGATGCAAACTTATATCTTTGTTTCCTATTTCTACGTTACGTGTTCTATCGTAACCTGCTGGCGTCCGGAAGTCAAGCTGTTATATAAGAATATATACATTATAAAAGAAAGGAATGGTTACGTAATAATAATTTTATATATACTTTAAAATTCCCTACACTTTTCAGTGCACATGTGCCATATACCACACCGGACCAACAGCTTAAACACTTCATCTGAAAGACTGTGCGCTATTGAAATTTGCATTACAGTCCTCCAGCTGAAACACTAGGAGAGGCAGCAATGGGAATTGAACAGGGGATCACATGATCTCCACGGTTCAGCGCACACCCATGGGCTACCACCAGTTTAGCCAACTGAGCTAAGCTGTTTTCTTAACTGTCTATTTAAATTTAGCAAGGAACACAACACATACCCCAAGGACTGTCAATAGCGAATACTTCACTGCCCTACTTGTTGGTGAAAATCCATTCCACAAGACAAACATAAGAACGATGCTTTACACAAACTAAAACTCAATATGAGGTTTATAGAGTGGAAATGTTTTGGTTGAGAGAACAAAATCCTGCAACACTGACATGAATTGAACCCAGGACCATGGGATTATAAAATTTAATAATAAATTTCACATTTTTTACACTTACCTGTAAGTCCCCGAATCTATAGTAACATAACTTGTACATTAGGCAATTGAGCAGAGTAGGAGAGCCAGCTTTATCTACACGAAATTCTCCTTGTGGTGTGAAGTAGTTAGATTCCTGTAAACAAACGCAAAAAAAACTGCCACTACTATAATCAAACTTCATAATAAAACAAAAGATACAGCACCTCACCAACTAACAATTGTTGAATATTTAAAAACTGGGTGAAAATTTGGAAAAAGAAGTTACGCCTCTTCCCCCACCAACTTTTAAATATTCAAAAAATCTGTACGTCTTTATTAACTGTTACCAAGTTTTTAGTCAAACACCATTATTGTTTCGAATGCCAGTTCACACTATTAAACATTTCACATTCCTAAATATGGTCATGATGACATCACATCATGACCATATATAGGCACATCATCACTATATATGGGCATACAACAGTTTTTTTTGTTGGGAGGAATACCTTAATGTCTTTTGGATGTTCACCCTCGGCGATACGAACCATCCACAGGAATTTGTTGATGTCGTCTCCCGAGTAGCCAATAACACCGCCGAATATTACTAGTACGTAGTTCACATCTAGTGAGCGCATTATCGTGTAAGCGTCGGATTCTGTGGATGACATTGCTTTACCCACCTAATGAAATAAATAAAAACAGATCCCATGAGAAACCAGTGTAAATGTAATAACTTGATCTTAAGTATAGTACAGTATTTATACTATACTAATATTAAACAGCTTCTATTATTTTTTTGTTTTAAAGATTTTTAACTCAATTTTCATGAAGACTATATTTTTAACAATATAAATCTGAAACACAGGAATAATGAATAATATATTTAACATTATACATTATACCTAGTAAAGTTAAAAAGGAAACATAAGGGTAAAAAGATTACTAACTGAAATTCAACTGATTAAAAAACAAATACATCATTACTATTAGTATTAACTAAATTATTATTATTTTTACAATGACCACAACTTCTGTTTCAACAAACATCTACTCTACTTGGACAACATAATAGGAAATATTCCAATTAACAAATAATTATGAGGAACAAGCATAATACTGTATATAAGAATAAAAATACAATTGTATGAATAATATCATCAATACACATTCATACCAGATAGACATTTTAACTATTCATATAGTACATGCATATGAAACTATGTAGCTTTAAATAGTGAAAATATTTCGTTTCGTTTCGTTTTATTTGGCATTACATTAAAATATAAAGTACAAAAAATATCTAAATAGAAAATATATGAAACCAAATTTAATTTCTAAACCTTCTTGGATGTTAAAAATAAACATGAGGTAATAATAAAGTGATTTGATTGGCTGAGACTTACAAGTGCAATATGACTATTATTCCAAGTGTTATTATCGACGAGTGTTGTCTTGTTGCCCATGCCGGCAATTTGATAACCGTAATCCCACCAAGACATGATGCGTGCGTTATCATCTGTGTTTTGACGAAGCCAGTAGTAGGCTTCGCGGAAATCATCAAGGATGTTTCGTGATCTAAGCATAAAAGTAAATGTTGCTTTATAACACAAATCCCAGCCATGCCTATCGCTAAAAAATTGGGTGACAGGCAGTCGAGGCATTGCATGTTACCTCAGATGCATTTTTGGATTAAAGATTTACTATCTGCCAAACATATTGGGAAAAGCTAAAAAATCAGCATAAAATTTTATAGCTAATAAAATTCTTTTGTGTAGACAACCACCAACATTTGATGCCAGGAGACATTTTTAGAGGATTAAAAAAAATTAAAATTATATAAATATAATTTGTTTAAATAGTTTACAGATAACATCTGGTGCTGGAGGCCTTTTATAATAATAAAAAAATTGCAGCATCTGATTCTTCAAGACTTTAGAGAGACTTTTTTAGAGAGAGCAGCTTAGCTCAGTCGGCTAATCTGGTGGTAGCCACTGTGTGTGCGCTGAACCGTGGAGATCTGTAGGTCCCAGGTTCAATTCCCATCGCTGTCTCTCCTTGTGTTTCAGCTAGAGGGCTAAAATACAAGTTACAATAGCGCACCGTCTTTCGGATGAGACGTTTAAGCCGTTGGTCCCGTGTGCATTATGGCCCATGTGCACGTTAAAGAACGCAGTACACTCTTCGGAAAAGAGTAGGGGATTATCTCCCGGTGTACTGCCCAATCACCACCAGAAGGACCCCACTGGAAATAAGTCTTCTTCTAGACTTTCGTGGGCTATCCTTGGTGTTTACACCGAATAAATCCAATCCAATCCAATCCAAACTTGCATAAATTACAGCTGCCATCTTCAGCATCAGTTGTCATTTTATTCCAAAAATCTGCCCAAATTTACTCTTCATGAATCATCTCTCTTATCTGCCACTTTATCATGCTCATGGCTGCCTCACAAAAAATTCATAAACACACCAGAGGATAGTGTTAAATCAAAGTTACTTACCCATCGTTGTTATATGATGCTAGCACAATACTTGGACTGGAGTATGCATTGCTGGTCACCCAGGTACAATGTACAGCAAACATCATTAACATCATAATGATTGCTAACACCACAAAGCCTTTCAGATTGCTGCTCACGCTCTCCTCCTCCTCTTCCTTCTTCTTCGTTTTATTTGATGGCTTCTTGTTACTGCCAGCCTACCATGGTATAATGACAATTAAATTAGGACATAAATAGTATTATATTCATCCTCAGATACATTCAGTGGCGTATCTAAAATGGGTGCGCATGCCTCCCCACTATTGAAAATGTTCGAAGCAAAAAAAAATCCACGGTCAAGTAGTTAAAAATCCCCTCAAACCACCTTATTTTGCTAGCTTGCACCCCCTCACCTAATCATTGAGCCTTCACTCCCAATACACCTTCGCATCTCTATCATCCCCACCAATCTAAGACTCCTAGATCAGCCACTGGACACATTGCTTTCATTAGAATTCCTGAATAATTTTGTGTCTAGCCTAGCCATTTTGAAGCATTCTATTCTGTTTTAAATTGAAAATAACATGTTTGGAGGGAAGTGAAACATTGTTGTCAACACATTAACAGTAAAATCCCCCAATTACCAACCTCTACAACTTGGTACATTGGTTAGGCCTAGTCTAACCATGGAGTTATAATTAATTTGTCAAAATAATTATAACTCCAAAGTCTTAAACGCATAACCTTTGTGACAAAAGGGGATGTATTTTGTAGAGTAGGGCATGGTGTTTTGAAGGGTAGGGGCCTATCTGTGTGTTGTTGCCACAATTAGTACAATACTGTACAACAACACAATGCTAGTTTTCAACCGGACCTAGGCTACCTCTTCAGTATTAGTTTGCACAGCAGTAGATTGTACAGATCTAAAAAAATAACCATCATCTACAAGGGGTATTTAAACATAACAATCTTACTCGCTCGCTCACTCAGCACACAGACATTCTGTGAACAGGAAGGAAGGATGAATATTAATGAGTCTCTTGTACAGAATGGCTCATGAATATTAATGATTCTCTTGTAAGATTACCAAGCTAGTGAAAATCATGCTCAGCCTCGATTTCAGCTAAACTACCATGTTAAGTCTTATTTGTTTTTCACTCCCTTAAACTTTCAACTTTTTTTTTTGTCGAGATATAATTTATAACTTGATATCATATCACAAACTATATAAAATAAGAAATTTCAAACAGAGCCGCACCCCTCCCCCACCCCCTTAAAGCAAGAAATATCAATATACTTTATTCCATTTTGAGCTATTCATGCTCGATCAGGCAGCTACAGTACAGTGAATAGAGAATCTATTTTTTTTTTCCATTGGGTTCGGGCGTTATTCGAATGGATTGCGATCTTTATAAAGAAAATAACAGTTTGTTTTTTGTTATTATTAGTCATGTTTTCATTTGGAAATCACTGCAAATGAATACATCACATTGAGTGCAGATAATTTTGGTATCTGTATTATTTTGTTGCAGAAAATGATAAAATACAAGTAATATTCATGATAAAATTTGGCCCCATAGCAAGGCTTAGGCCTACCTAGCTCTGTCGGTATGTAGCATAGGCCTAGGACTACCCTCGCCACTGAGATGCTCTGAAATTTTGAACTCTCTGGATTACGAACTTTCTTATTTACGAACTCTGTTCTGACGGAGGGGTACGTAATTGGGAGATGTTATTGTACATACAATGCGATTTACTCACATTTTGTTTAGTGCCAATGGACAAATTGGTTAGAATGAAAATTTTTTTAAAAACTTATCAATGAGGGGAAGGTGATAATTAATGTTTTATTCTTCTTGTGGCCTAGCCTGAATTTCCTTGACTTTTAACAAGGATATACATTCATATTTACAAACAAATAACATAGCAATTGATTGTCCAAATACACAAAATAGGGGTGAAGATATTTAAGGAATCTATAAATGTATCTTTTATAGACTATTAAACATCATCACGCCAAATTTGTGTACAGTACTTTAATTGAAGGACCTATTTGGAACCAGTGTTGACTTAAATGGCTACGCTGTATGTCTTTTGAGTCGATTACCTTATCGTAGAGCTTTTCTCTTCTTTTTATTTCCTCCTCATCATCTTCACTTTCACTCACTGACCTTTTCCTATCGGGTGTTTCATCTAGTAAGTATTCACTTAGTAGCTTGGAAATTGCAATTGAAGACAGTATACAAACCACAGGGGTTAACGTCAACATCAGTCGAACCATAACACCAGCAAAATATACCGCACTTATAGCATACAGCACAACTACAGAATTAAAAGAGAAGCTAGATGAGAATTTATGGCATTTGTCACATAAAAATGGGGATACATTGCATCTGTCAGTGGTGCAAATCCTTGGAGGTTGTAATGTCATGTCAGAAGCTGTTATGTTGTCAAGCACCCAAGCAGAGGAATATACAGTCTGTGCCTTGCTTATAAGACAACTGACCTGTCTTGACCTGTTCCTTATTTGAATTTGCTAAACTTATTTGGCTCTTCAATGAGAAATGCAATTTCTTATTTAAATGTATTAGGATTTTTGCTCATTTACAGAATTCTTTAAGATCTTTAATTTTTTTTTTTAAATTAAATTTTATTTCTTTCACATCCAACAGCAAGTACACTCGCTTCTTAGTAAAAAAAAAAGGCTAGAGTCGGTCTGGTGTGGCCAACACAATGATTTATTTTATTTGGCCTCAATTTAATTTCCAAAATATTACATTTGTACAAAATGGCCCAAATGCATAAGGATCATGGTGTAGTTCAGTTATGACTTTGGCTTTGATTAGAACCATGGATCTTGGATTAAAAAAAGGACACCTGAATTACCATGTAATTCGTGTTTGAGACAAGAGACAATGTTCTTAATACCTTTAAATCCTTCAGAAGGGACAGCAAGCCATTGGTCCTGTGTGCACATCATGTATACAGTAGGGAATTATCTCCCAGAGCACTGACCAAAATAGGTGCTGCACTGTACCCCACCCCACCCCTCTCCCACCCCCTTGGATTATCATACCATTGCTCCCTCACACATGATTTTTAGGAATACTTACTAAACACTCTTTCATCATTGATTTCCTTGATGGTAAACCAAAGCCCAGCAGGAAACGTGCAAACAAGAATATGAAGGTCAAAGAAAAACGACACCCAGGTTGTAGGCTGATGTTCCGATACGGAGGCAATAATCGGTATGTGAATCTTGGCATATCTAAAGAAAAATAGTAATTATAAATTATAAAAAATTATTTAGTTACATAAATATTATTTATTTTATCTGTTTTCTTTCCTCTGTTTGGTTAGTTTATAGATTTTATGGTTTAGTATTCTTAATGACATTTTCAGATAACACATTTATATAACGTTTCCTTTTCTCTTCTTGAATTAAATGAGCACTATAAGCAGTGGTGTATCTATCCCCCATGCATCCCTATTGAAATGAATCACATTTAAAGTAGTTAAAAAAACAAAAAAAAAAAACAAGAATATAACTTTTACCTACCCAGTGTCATAGAGTGAATAAAATCTACCGCTCCATGGAGCAACATAACCTGAAATTAACAAATGAAACAAATATAAAATTATGAAATTATTCTGCACTGCAGTGTATAATACATAATGAACTTGGTCTGGCCAGGCAACTCATATTCAGGACTAGATTCTTGTTTATCTAATTTTACCAAAAACATGCCAAATTACTTATGCATGTTACGTACAGAGGGGAGGCCAAGTTTACTTTTGTTGTGGGGTGGGGGGGTCTCAGTATTTAACCAGTGTTATTTGCCAAAATAGAAGGCTCCTAATGTCCCAAAAATTAATATTGTTTAGAGCACTCAGTCTTTACATGTGAGATCAGAAAACAGATGTAGTCATTTTTTAGTCAATTTAAACACTGTCTTTCAACCACACATTATATTGTATTAAAACAGGTGAATTTAAAAAAAAAATCAATATTGAGCAAGGTTGACTCTAAAAGGCTGACATTGAAATAGATATGTTCATATTTCTACACCTATTATAACCGAATCAATATACAGAGTCCAGTTCAGATTTTTGCAAATTAACTTTCTTCACTGCATGGTTAAGTCATCGCTGTTTATGTATTACTGCCCATAATTCTAAATCAAACAGATGTTTGAATAAGAATAATTTGTTGATGTAACAGACATTCGTTGTTTTGACGTAATTTGTTCAAGAAGGCCAATATGATTAAAATTTTCTTTTTTATAAGAGCATCATCAGGAATTTCTGATATTTTAATAATAACAAAAAAACTAACTAAAAATATTCAATCAGTCTCTTTAAAGTTTACCCCACAAGTGGGCAAAGCGTGGCCGTGTGCCAAATGCGGCCTGATATTGATTTTGTTGTAGCCTGCGAAAACATATTAAACTCCCTATGTGTGTGGCCCGCCAACGATCTTTGGCTAGAAAACCCTTTGTTTTTTATGGCCTGACACTGATTATCTGTAAAAATATGTTACAACTGAGCATAAAGTGTTATAAAAGCAGTCCATGAAGGTTTTGGAAGCACACTTGAAACACCAAAGTGTAGGTGCGGCCCTTGGTGTTAAATCAAAAATTAACTGTGGCCCTCTGACCCATATAAAAAAAAATCAATTTAAAATTTCAAACCTTAAAGAAAGTGTAATCAATAACATTAAGTATTTAGTAATTTTTAACTATCAGATGGTAAAAAAATATTACGTTTTTTCCATGCCTTTGCTAACAAAAAAGCTTACAATATCGATCCAAAATTTACATTTCAATCAACATAGTGGACTCTAGTAGGCTGATAATACTGGTTCTTGGAAGTCAAATTAATTATGAAATATGGTTAATGAATAATTTATGAAACTACAAAAAATCTAATGAAACACAATATTAGTCTTGGATAACACATCACAAGCTGTTTCTGACCAATCAGAGACGTACACCTGTAAAGGCTTAATGTTAAAAGACAAATGATAATAATGATGAGTAACTGTTTACCATATTAGGTAACTTACCACTGTATGTAAGAGCAACAACACTAACAAAGACTGCACCTGCCGCTGCCAGTACGGAGAAGAAGAACAATGATGTAAACTCCTGCTTAGTCAACGTTGTCTGAATGTATTTAAAAAATGCATAGGCTTGCAGTAGGACAAACGTTCCTGGTGGTAGAAAGAACAATAAACATTTCAACCAAAATAAAAATACAACAATTTATAAATTAATTACAAGTTTATTTCTGGTAAGATTTTGATAGCTTTGTCAGATAAAATGACAGAGTTGGATGGTTGTGCCAAGGGTCTTAAGTTTGAAGAAATCATTTCCGGAAGATCTGGTTAGAGGAGTTATCTTATCAAATTTTATTATATTTAGCTGTGCATGGTGATTATTCATCAACACTGACTTCTGTCAGACAACTGACATTAGAGTAGTAAAAACATGCAACTTTCATGAATTTGTGGGAGATGGGTTATTTTCAAGGAGATTCTTGCTTGCTTGTGAGAGTGTGGGAGGCCATCCCAATATCCGGTAGATTCCCCTGATTTCCAGGAGACTTGGGACCCCTGGTTGTGCAGTTTAAAGCAAGGGGGAAGGGGGCAACAACCTATATAGCTCTAATTCAATTTGCTTTAATTTGATTGCTAGAACAAAGTCTTTTCATCTGTAAAATAGGGCTTTATGTGCCAATATCAATATATATATACACATTTTTGGAAAGAGTAGGGGTTACCCATATGTTCCTTCTGCCCCTGTCATTGAAGAAAGACTGAGCGCCTCCGATTGGTTGCCACAAGAGAAACACCTATACATAATTCAGTACAATGACTGCAAGTTACAAATTAATTGTATGGATTTGAACCCTGGACACTCAGATTGAGGCGGGGAGCTCAACCAGGGTGTCACGTCTCCTTCACACATAAATGCAAATAATAATACTACAGAAGAGTGTACTGTATATAATTAAAAGTTATGGGTTATAGATTTGAACCTTGGGCCCTCAGATTATAAGGCAGGTGCCTCAACCTCACTGTCACATCTCCTTCACACTTAAATGCAAATAATATATTAAAAAGGGATGTATATAATTAAAAGAAAGTTACTGGTAAATTGTATGGGCTTGAACCCTGGGTCCTCAGAATATAGGGCAGGTACCTCAACCACAGTCACATCTTAATGTAAAAAATTATAAGAGAATACCAACCTGCAGCTGCCATATGTTCACTTGTACGAACTGGCTGGAAACCTACAAAAGGCACTTGCATTGCCAATAACGTCCCTAATATATAGAATGTACTATAAGCTGAAAGATACAATGTAAAATTAATTAATTCCTAATTCATAACCAATGGTAGGATAATAATAATATTAATATTCAATAACATGCAATTCATAGTTTAAACATATGGTTAAAAATGTTTTTCATAACAAATGTTAGGATAATAATAATATTAATAACAGTAACATGCACTTCATATTTTAAACATATGGTTAAAACAGATGTTTAATGGAAATTGCAAGTGCAGTGCTGCGAAGTACAACTGCATATAAATGTTCTTTGAACAAAATTATTTATGCGAGTCAAGTGAAAATAATGAATAATAAAAATATAACAAATAATATGAGACACGACCCATTGTCTATATCAGAACACTTCTCATTGGGTAACGAAGTCGTAATTTTTCATTTTTGTCAAAAATTGTCTATAGTGGTGGATTATAGTTTAGGTTTTTTTTAATAAAGTTTCAAAAATGTCTACGTATGTGGAAAATGTAGTTGATTAATAAAGGTTACAATTTTTATTTTGAAGACTGCATGGTCTAGGAAGTGTACATTTTTTTATGGGGAAAGTTTCCAAGGGCGGATTTTCTAGGGGCGAGTTGACTGCCAAAGAGTGTTGCCAAAGTGCGAGCCAGCGTGCTATTTGATCACAAGTGCGAGACATCACGACAATAGATACGAGACGTTACTCGAGTTGTGCGAGGTATCGGCTGAGATTTGTGGAGTACAATTCAAAAAACAACCATAGGTCTAATAATGAATTATTGTGATGTTAAATAGACAATGTTAGCTATCAAGGAGCGACTTTGTTTTTCATTGGGAACTTCATCCCTTCAAGGCTAGGCCTATACCATCCTAGCTAGTCTAGGCCTAGAGTAGGATAAGGCTAGCGCGACATGCGGACTTTGGTACGTGTTGGTTCGTCTACAAACGTGGCCTAAAGTAATTGATTTTACCCGGCAGAACAAAAGAAGGAAACTCCGCTTTTCAGTCGTCTTAGGCCCTTGTTTTTTGACAAACAATGACCTTTCAGAGGTCAAATTGCTGTCAAGAATATGAATTGGCTGCTTCGCAGCAAATATTCTTTTCTCATTTCTGCAAAACTAACAATACAATATTAACTCCAATATTGACAATATTTAAAGGTATTTTATATTTGAGACGAAGCAAAAGCCTTCTTTAATACATGTGACGGGCTCTGGCAAAAACCAGGTTTGTAGGAAAAAATTCAAAATTGATTTTTTTTTAGCATTTTTAGATTCTGCATGAATTCTTCTAAAATACAGTTTCTATTTGATGGAAGTTGGTTGAGTATTAGCGAAATTATGAATATTTAATTCATTAGATATCAGCTATGTAGGTTTTGAGAAAACAGCTTCCACAGATCCCAAAATCAACAGTTTGTTATTAAGATTTGAATTTTAAAAATAATTTAAATATACTTTTTAGTTAGATTAAGTGATTGATAACCGAAAGGTCCACTGATTAATCTCAGATAAGATAGTATAATACATACTCCAAGTATCGAAATGCATGCCATCGTGTTGCAATTAAATATTTCAAAATTAATCATAATAATAATTAAAAGATGATGACATGATTAATGTCGAAATATTGAATCTCGACACGATGGCGTGCATTTCGATACTTGGAGTATGTATTATACTATCTTAAGAGATTGATATTTTACAGAAATGTTCTTCAATATATCTTCTTTTATAAAATGCAAAAACTTGAAAATTCTGATTCTCATGTTTTGGGTGCTTAGTGCAAAATTATAAATTGCCACAGACAGAGGGTTTACTCCTCCTAAATGAGTCAATTTTAAGCCAAGTCAGACAGAGTCCTACAATGCAGCACGACAGGATTAGTTGTCATGTCGGGTCTGTTTGAGTTAAAGGCCAACGTGATAGGTCTGCATCTTTGACAGCCACGTCGTAGTGGGAGCGTCGCCAAATTATCCTACCGCGGTAAGCCTTAATCTACCGCACCGCGGTAGACACAAGGCTGTGTATGCAGAAAATTTGCATATCACATTGCATACAAGTCTACCGCGGTAGATAGAAACTGCCTTAGGGCCAACTGTAGTGTGCAACCTTAGAACCAAGGACATCAACCTATCAACCTAGTTCCTTAGATTAACAGTCCAGATAAACAGATTGTGATTAAATAATTACAGTACTGAAGTGTGCTCATGACACGATATCGACATATCAAAAGTTAACCTCTTGTTTACGACAACACATGCCCGCGATTTCCTTGTGCATGAACACAACGAAAAACGCTTGCGCAGGTTTGGAGAAGTGGCGATGTATTTGTACCATACAATTAATTGGCTATCCAAAACTATATTCCGGTGAAGAAATAAGACTTTTCTCGAGCACCAAAAAGAAGGGATCATTTCGGTCGCGCCTTCTTTTTGGTCGTGCCGAATTGTTCTGCATTTCGGTCGCGACAGACTGCCTCTAAGTAATGCCGATATACGCACTAGTGCTTTATGTTTGGAAAGTAATTTTTAAAGGGTTGTGTATTTTTAAAGTTTGTTTGGTGCGTGTGTTTCGGACTGGGTATTAATTAATTTATTTTGTATTTTTGTGTTTACGATGCTTGACTATCACAGGCCCAATATTCTTTGTATATTTTTTTTTTAGTATGATTCAGTGTTTGAAGTTTTTTACAATTGTTATTAATTACAAGTAATTTGAATATAATTAACCGTGTTCTTTTTCTTCTTACAGATTTCAGAAGTAAAAAGTCAAGTACATATTTGTATTTATCAATTTCTGAATTATTCGTAATAAAGGCCGAGGAATGTTGTTACGATTATGATTTAATTTGTTTAATCAAATATACTTTTAGAACAAATGTATGCAGTGGAATAAGGTTAATGATGAAAACATAGCCACCCCATGCTGAAACCTGCAATAAATGAAAACAACAAAATGTTATAGGACAGTAATATACTGAAATATAATACCTTATTTATTCAAATAAATGCCTCGCTTTGAAAAATGCCCTCTTTATAGCCTCATTTGGAATAAACGCTTCCCTCGAATAAATGCTGAAAGGCATTTATTTTTTCTTTGAAATAACGCCCCCTCGATGACTGTAAACAAATGTAATGGAAGCAAAGTCATATTCTCAACACATTCTATTAATGTTCTATTCCAGTAAAATTAAATTGGTTGAAAACTGGTTGGGATGAATAAGTCTTTATGATAAGGCAATAACATATTTTCTTGGTACTTATGTGCTGTAGTTCCACATTTAGAGTGAAATTAAAGGGCATTTATTCGAGTTATACATATCCATTTTAGACCAAAAAATAAATGCCTCCCTCAACAACCCTTCTCAATAATAAACGCCCCAGGGTGTTTAAAGGAATACATAAGGTATCTATATAATGCAATTGAACATAATATATAATATATTAGAAATACAGCACTCTATAGTGGTCAATTTTCTATCTAATCATATTTTTGCACCATGTTTTAAGGCATAATGGCTCTGTGTAATTTTTTCCCTTAATTTCTGCATGTCTTGTATTTTATAGTTTGGAAACAAAAGATGGCTATAAAAAAGATATCATCCAACCTAGTGTACTTCTGTGTAGACTTGTCACTTTCATATCATACAAATCATGAATTCACAGATATACTAGCAATCGGCACAGCCTCCCACACAACATTAGGATTTTTTTCTCAAGTCCAACACAATTCTTCGCCCAAGGCCTCATAATGAGACTGTGTTTATATAGAGCAACATGTGTCTTTGTTTGTGCTATTTAAAATGTGTCTGGTTCCAGGAAGACAATAGAAAGCAGTGTCTTGACACTTAATGATTAAAAATGGATGTATTAGTTTTCCGGCAATACAGCTCAATGGGCTTTTATAGTTTTATGGATCCTACTTATTCTTTTGTTAGATATACTGTATTTGCTAGCCTTTGTATTACTGTATTCTCTGGTGAGCAAGAAATAAAAACAAACAAGCAAGACACATATATAGGAGCGGTTTGGAGGTGGGATGTTCAATCCCTCTTTGTGTATTTCGCTTGTGCCCTTAGGCAAGGCACTTTACCTACAGTTGTCTCTCCACCCAGGAGTACAAGTGGGTGCGAGTTGGTTCAAACATAAATACTGTATGCGCTAATTACAGCTGTATCATTAAGGAATTCTCCCAAGGGACCTGAGTATGTGTTCCATAATGTGCTTGATCCAATGACTGGGGGTAATAATGCTAAGTGCATAGAGGTCTCTACAATGTGCGCTATATAAATCAACAATTATTATTATTATTATTATTATTATTATTATTATTATTATTATATACAGAGGTCAGATCACAATAAAATGTAAAATATTGACATTACACACCATGTAAAAGTATGAAAGTGCTGTTAATGCTGCCCATGATATAGATCCATTCTTTACAGCTTTCACCTAAAATATAAATAAAACTTGAATTACTTCATGTACTGTACAACTGTAGTTCACAGTAAAATCAAAGCCTCTCTAATATTCTTTCCATAAATAAATATAAAAATACAAACACTAGAGCTAGACCTTTAATCGAGAAAAAAAAAAGGGGGGGGGAACCTCCCCATTCAAATGTTGCTTAGATACACACACAGCACAAAAATTCTAGATATGAATGCATCTTTTCATTTCAAATAATACAACATTTTATCTTCCTTTGAGGAGGACAAATAATATTAAAAATAATAAGTAATATTTTTTTACTTTTAATTTTATTTTTAATTAATTTAAATACTTTGTAGCTCATTTAATGCATACCTTTTTTTATACACCAGATTTATTATGTTACGCCAAACATTTTTTACACTTTCAGATTAAGGTGCAAGCATTTCATGGCATAGTAATTATTACATAGAAGTCGCTTTTGGGCCTTGCTTGTGGTTATTTTAATTTACCCCCACTCCCTCAAAAAAAAAAATAATAAAACAAAACAAATTAGCTTAATTCAAAAGTTATCTTTAATTAATTATTGAATATGTTTCTCGTCCAATACATGTGTTAGCAAAAACCAAGAAGACTTGCCCAAAGATAGTAAGTGAAAATCAATGCAAAGATAGCAATTCCTTCATTATCATAGGAACCTGCCACAGACCGGGAAATGTAACCAGGAACTGCACAAGGAAATAAAAAAAGGAAATTAACATCTATTTTTAGAATCTTGCTATTAAACTATTTCAGTATAATTATCAATTAATTGGAATGAATAAATGTACGCATGTACAGTATATGTACAAAGCATTACGGCAATGAAGACTTAGAGTCTTCTTATATATAATCTCTTATATTTATATACTACATATTTATTTAACAATATTATATCCCTGTCTCTTATACACATCTAGATGTGTATAAGAGACAGGTACTTATGTGCTGTAGTTCCACATTTAGAGTGAAATTATACATACATACATACATACACATTATAATACACACTACTCAGTGTTGTAGTTCTGTAGAAAATTGAGGATAGGTGGTAGACATTATAAAGATGGGTGGGTCATAACATTAGTAAACTCTAATTAAGAAGAGTGGATTTTAAGGATGGGAAAACGGGTTAATAAAGGTGGGTGGAGGGCCATTCAATTAGCTTTAGACTGGGTGGGAAAATTCAAGGCTGGGTGGCCCTGCCCACCATCACTACATCCATGGCTACTATAACTATCATTTTTAACATTTATTAAATATCATTACTGTTTAATCATTAACTACTGTATGTAATGATTAATTACTGTATGCTACAGTATATTGTTGTCATCAATGACACAGCTGTCACCATCATCATCATAATATTCAGCAATTATTAACTCATATTAGAAGATGGAAATATTGATTCCCTGATTATAACTTGCTATCATAAGTACCTTCTACTTAATATAAAACATTTTCAATTTCAATTTAAAAATAGATGTACCTATAGCAATACAGCATGCTGCCAATAAACCGGCTCTAGAGCTCCAAAGTTCAGAGGTCAATCCATATGTTGCTAAAGCAGTGAGACCACTACAATATAAAAAAAGACAGTATAATTACAACAAAAAATAAAAATACATGGATACATTCTTTAAAAGTATATAAAGAATAACAAACATTACTGTATAATCTACCACATGCCTGGAATGCCAATCAAATGTGGAAATATTTGAGCATGAATATATTAGGAAGCTTTCGATTTGTGTGACAACGCAACGCTAGAACAGAATCACTCATTCGTGACCATCCTGCCAGGCGCCCCACGTTCTCTGTAAACATAGATTTGGCCAAATTGCGTCCTAGAATCCATGCGACGTTCTCACATGCGCATTACGGCATGCGCATACGTGACGGCATTACGTTCTACCGTCGTCGTGCAATCGAAAGCTCCCTACTGTGCATCTTTCTGTGGATGCTGAAGTAGTCACGAACCACACCCATACACAATCCAGCACAATGACGCCTCGAGTAAATGGCATTGTCCTGCATTACCTTTAGCAAAGGTTCTCTAGGGTTAGCTACCTTTTGGAAAACCTTAGCAAATATGGCTATATTCTTAGTGGAATGATAGGCCTGAATGATATTATTTTATAGAATATCTGTGTACTGTTATTGTTAATTCAATTTAAATACTGTAGCGTACACTGTCATGGATCTGGGGATATTTTCCATTTACTGTATTTTGTACACACTGCAATTTGCATATTCCATACAGGTGGCCGACTCTCGAGCGTCGCTTGTATGGAACAATAGGACTAGGCAGACATTTTGAATGTTCTTGTTTCATATTTTTGTATTTTTATAATATAGCTTTTAAGTTCCTGTTTCTATGTACTTTCGTATTGTATTGTGCATTGTGAATGTGAACAAAGAACACTATGAAAACATGAATAGTGGCATAGTGGTAAGGGCCAGGCTCAAGAGATTTCGCCTTAACTGGCCCAAAATACCCACTTTTTTAATGCTCTTACCTGAACAGAGGTGCAAGGAAAACACAAATATCCCGTATATGAACTGGGATGTTGAGGGCATGAAGAAACCAATGGATGGTCCCGGATGTTATCATCAAACCTGGATAAACCTTTTATGAAGAAAAAAATAATTGAGCATACAACAAATTGTTAAAAATAGTAATTGTACATTATTGGCAAAAAGCTATCTATTTATCAAGGAATTAGTTAAAAGTCATTGCTTTTATAATACATAGTTTAATAAATATTTTTTCCAAAGGTTTTTTCCAATTAAACATTTAGAAATTACTATGTCGATACAAAATAAGAAAGATGTTTTATCAATAAAAGCTGCATATACTGTATGTAGTTACACACCTCAGCTTTTACTATAGTTTAAACAAGGTAGCCTTTCGGCCTACAGCAGCTTTCTGTATTTTCAGAAATTACATAATATATTTCTTACCGTTCCCCCAACAATTCTACCAAGTGGATACCATGCCCTCTCATCAAACCAGTTAAGGAAATTATAGAAACCATTGTTAACCATGTGACGTGTAGCTCGATAGTTAAACCTATAGTAAAACATACATTAAAAAAAAAAACCCATTAAAATTAATGAGAACAGGTATAAATTGTATTAATAATGGATTGTTCTCATTATCATAATTTGCTTACTCACTCTGGGTCTTTCCATCCTTCTATTTTTGCCCATTAGGCAAGACTTTTTTTATACCGTGTTTTCATTAATTTTTTTAAAGATCGTCAAAGGCGAAAAAAAAATTAATGTAAAATTTTTTGTTTTCTTATTTAGCAAATAGTTTTGCTGCAAACATCCAGATGGAGGAGAAAATACAAATAAAATTGTATTCATGAATGAATGTAAACAGTGTAGTAATGGGATGGTAATTGCAAATTTATATAAATTAGAAGTAAACATACTACAGTATCTTATTTTTGGAGATTTCAAGGCAGTGGGTGGGGGGTAGGCCTGTTGATAAGAAAGAAAAACTTTAACTTTTTTTCTGAAATTTCCATTTTTTTGTGACTGGCCAAAATAAAATTTTATTTTTTATTTGAACCGTCATTATTGGCGGGTGGCAGGTTCACTAAAACAAGGTTTAACAAGATTCTCGTCTTAAAAGAAAATCCCAGAAAAAGTCTACATTTAAATTGTTTTTCGCAGTTTTGGATTTAGCATTTCAAGAAAATAAAACCAAATCAAAAACAATCTCAGATAAAGTACTAATGTATTCCCTCATATATGACCACAATCACATACCGCAGTAAAATATTTCATTAATTTTGCCAACATACAAGCTCGGTAAAAACATTTATTATTGCCCTGTTAACCCAGACTGTAAAATTTCCTTTCATTTAATTTATTTTGAAATGAAATTTTACAGTCTGGGTTATGACTATAAAATAAGGCCTAGAAATCCATCAATTCCTAGCATTTTGGAAAATAAGCACCTACCTGTATTTCTGCATAGTTTTTCCCAAAATTAAGCCTTGACCTATCCCTTAAAATATATAACCAATGTATATGCGCATGTAATTATGATTCTGTGCACCTATTTTTCTAGCTATATCTGCACGGAAAATTGCTAGGAAATAAGTGCACAGAATCAAAATTACTGCATAAATTAAATAATAATACATGTTTATAATATATTAAGATTAGGTCAAAGCCAATTTTTGGCAAGTCGGCCCTTATTTTCAGAAATGCATGGACGGATATTTAGGCCAAATTTTTGCACGGAGGATATAGGCCTAGGTAGGCATATCAATCCATGCACTGGCCTCACTCTAGGGTTATAGATAGTCCTGTCCATTCAAGTTGTTTTGACACAAATTGGGGTGGGGAGACAAACCATTTGCAAAATGTGAAAGATTTCCTTTAGGTTTTACGTTATGGTTTGCAAACTGCACAAGCACGTTCCTTGCAGCAGTGCACATTTCAAAACTGCAAATTCAGCTAGGCCTAGGGCAGGCTCAGGCATAGCATTTTTGGCATAACACCACATGCTGCCACTGCCTGGCCTGGATGGAGGCTGCTCCACCGCTCGACCCCGCCACCCGTGGGTGCAAATGCTGTAGCAGGCGTGTAGGCCTCACTAAGCTAGGCCTACACTTCCTTAGTTATTGCCAGGTTAGTCACCTCTAGCTATGCAATGTCTTTTCAACAACAATTATAAAACGCCGGTAGGCTCAACCTAGCATGATAAGCCCCTTCGATAGAGGCCTGGTCTCACTTTGCTAAATTCATTACACAGAGCCAGCTTACCACGGGTCGAACTCGTGAATTATGCTTTCGAATCGAATCACAGCAAATAGTCTTGAGCTGAACCCCGCTAAACAGGCCAGTAAAAGAATAACAAATGTTAATAATCCTAAAACTGCATTTGCATTTGTTACACTCCTTCTGTTTTCGGCCCTATTTTCACTTTTCATGGCTGAAGAATCCTTGACTAACTCCAACGCCGAAGACCTCCCTAACTTGGAGGTCGCCATTTTGCCGATTGACTTTCGGCAAACACATGCGCATAAATTCGTGTGTAATACTCAAGTTATCAATCAAGAGCGCTGTAAGAAATTCTCCAGGTCGTACTCCTCAAGGGTAGTCGCGGGGCGGGACTAGCTCGCCGGGATATACAGTAGGCCAAAATAATTAAAATCTCTAAAATGTTGGAGCTGTCAGTCAGTGGTGGAGCCAGTTTTTGCCCGACCGATGTCCCCGACGAAAAAAAAGTGGTCGTGGTCGGGCGTCGCTCAAATTTCTCGAAAGTGTTCAAGCCAGAGGGAGGGGGAGGGGGGGGGGCGCATCCCCAAAAATGACAATTAATGGTTTCAAAGGCTTTTTAATCGATTTTGGAATCTACTAATAGGCCTATGTAGAAAATTCATATACATTTTTTTCTCCCCGACGAGTGGGTTTACTCCCTGACGGGGTCGGAGGCTCGGTCCCTGGCCCCCTTCCCCCTGCTGGCACTACCCCTCCGGAGCTTCCGGAGGCTTCGCAACAGTTCTGGCCTGGTCCAGCATCAGCGGTGGGGCCAACAATTTGCCGACAAGATCCGACATGCCAGAAGGAGGAGTCCGAACCAAGGGGCCGACGAAGCCTCGGTTGACGACCTGGAATGGGTCGTGACAAAGTGCGAGCCAGCGAGTCATGCCAGCCATGCGAGCCATACATTTTAAATATTTTTTTTTGTATCTGTAATTATTTTTATTAACACGTACTATTGTACCGTATTTATTTATTTATTTATTTATTTATTATTGCACAAAAAGTTAATTACTTTAGTAAATTTCTAGGTGAATATTCCACCGCGGTAGTAATGGTATAATTGAAGCATTGAGATTGGCTTTATGTTCATGTTGCAGGAGGATGACGTTGACGGTATGCAGGTTTTGCCTTCGCTGGTGAAGTACATTAATATATATACATTATAACATTAATCATATTTAAAAAATATGGATGCAGCAGAAAAGCGCTTTGCATGTCTTTTGGATCCGTAAAAGTGACAGTGACAATATTTTAATATAAATTATGATGTCCATATTATGACCTTCTCATCGAGTAGACTAATACTAAATTCAAACCATTTCCTTCAATCAAAAAGTGACTTGAGTGACTTAGACTTATCATGATAGATTAATAAATAAATAATAAATGAATAGAATAGTAAAATAGTATGAGTTATTCTATACGTTTAAGGATTACCATAACCACAACCGGCCACCGAGAGGGTGGGCGGGGGAAGATTCCCGGGGCCGAAGCTTACCAGGGGCCCATAGAAATTGCAGGTAGTTTTTTGTTTTCCATATTTGTTTCAAAAATATTAATTACTATCTTGGGCCCTTAATAATGGTATGGCTCCCCTAATAATGGGTCCCTCCAGAATGACAGGGCCCCCCTCAAAAAATGTTTGGAACTCGGCGCAATCTTTCTCACGCGTCGCGCTCGTAACTGGGGACCCCCACACCCACCCTTGCCCCTGTTACAGTTTCCTTTCCTCTCTTGGCGGCTCTGACCACTGAACTACTGTACAGACTCCCTAAAAATTTGCCACACACAGCTCCACCATCCTCTCCCATCATTTCACCACACCCTGAATGCATTGATTGTTATAATTTGATTATAACAACCAATAATAATAATAATTTGATTGCTAATCATACCTATGTTTTTATATTATTTGGCATTTACAGTCAGATAATTAAGAAAAAATTATATAATAATACAATAATTATAATATACCCAGCACCCAGGGGCATTGTTGTTCAGGTGGTTTTTAAGGAGCCAGTGTTTACTGGTAAATGTAGTCCACATTGATGTTAAAAAGTGTTTTTGTATGGCTTGCAAATCCCTATTAGCAGTTCATTTAATTCCACTAGGGTAAAACATTGATAATTAATTCAATGTTAACCCAAACATTAATTTTTATTAGTCTTTTATGCATTTTAAATTATGACGTTTGATCTTTTAATTGTGTTTGGTGTCATGTTTTTTAATTGTGTTTGCTAGTTATGTTTATTTTGTGTAAATTAAATAAGATCCCCCGTCCATGCATGGGGCGAATGGGCAGTGTGAGTGAAACGAATTATTACATAGTCTATTACATAGTCATAGTCAAACAAATATGTTAAAAGTAGTTATTATAATTATTGTAATTATTTTATAAATTGCACAAGTGCTTTTTAGTGTAGACTTTTGTGTGCCTCGCATGACTCGCACTGTTGGTACACGTCCCGCAAGAATTACATTCATGGCTCGCATGAATTGCATGCCTCGCTGGATGACTCGCTGACTCGTACTTTGGCAACCCTCGCCTGGAATAAAACATCCCCGGTAGAGTTCACAGAGAGATTTTTTTTGTTGCTTAGTATGGTCCAATATGTGCTTTCAGACGACGATATTAGGAATGGCAATCAAAATAACGTTTTCCCCCACCCCGCAATGAGCTTATCTGTAGGGTGTAGCCTACTTTTGAATAATGATGATACTGTACCTAACAAAATATTTAAAATGTGATTTATATGCCTAGGCTATGGTATAACGAGAGAAGATAAAAAGACAAACATTTGTTTTTGTTCCAGATCAGGGGCAGATCCAGTGACACGTCAGGGCTAGCCCGGGCGGACGCCGGGGGTGCAGACGGTGCGATCACACCCCCTATGTTAAAAATATAGGCTAATTGTTGTATTATATTTTTGATGTAAATTACCAGTAAGAATGAGAGTGCAATTTCCAGGCACCTAGAGGTTCATATTCTCAAAATTTTACCACCATGGTTGGGGCTGAGGTGCTGTGGACATTTTACGAACCCCCTACCGCTAAATCATGCATCATCCTCATCCCCCCCTCCTCCCGCCCAAGAAAAAATAAATAAAAAAAGGAGAAAAGGAAAAAAAAAAAGAAAGGAGAAAGAAGGGAGCACGATACCGTAGATAGACCTACTCAAAAACAGCTAATTTTCTATTAAATTCCATGTACCAGTGTCTATGCAAACATTTCTCCCCCACTCCGTGCTTCAACGTCGCTGGCCCCTACTCAAATTTCCCTCTGGATACGACCCTGCAAGTAGGCCTAAGGTATATGTCCCTGCATGGACCATGGTCCCTTGTTCTTAATAGGCGGCCAGCGGTCGAAATTTGGCCGGCCCGAAAAGTAATTTAATTTGTCCAGTGAGGAAAAACAAAAAAATACAACCCCTGGGGAATGTGCACGGAGTGGTTTGAAAATGAGCAAAATTATATAGGCCGGCCATAATAGAGTAAATAACGCCAAATATCGATCACAGGGTGTTTCCCGTGGTCCTAACATCGTTATGATGTTGGGGTTACCCCAATCAGATCTGGTTCTGCTAAATTTACCATTGCAGCCCAGTAGTAAAATATTTATCATAGATATGTTAACATTTTTAAGCGCCCTGATGCCTGCTTATGACCCATGATAGAAGAAGCCCATTGAAATTAAAACATACAACTAAATTTAGGTTATTTTGCAATACGTCAATTGGGCTTTGGGTAATCGCCTACTTAAAGCTACATACTAAACAGAAGAAGAAGAACAGTGCTTATTATAAAAATACGTTTCAGTTGTGCTACCAAGTTCTGTCTCTGTGTGGCGCAGCGTGACCACTCACAGTTTTTGATATACCCAATGACTGGGTCGAAATTACCCAAGATTCAGCAAATATTGCCCAAAATTACCCAAGCTTCCTGAAAATGCATTAAATTTGAAAAAAAAATGTGTTTTTCGCATGTATAGTTTCCCTTTTAGTTCAATTTATAAACCATTTTTTATTGTAATTGTTTGTGTTAATTATTAAAATTAATATTCATGAGGTGATAATACAGATAGAAAAATACGCCCTCAGTCGGCCAGTGTTGTCAGTAGATAAGTGATCAAGTTTTATTATGTAATGCATTAATTAGGTAAGATCAATGGCAACGCAAATCACAAATAAACAATTCTGAACCCATGTTTATAGCAATTAACAGTCAATTAACAACGTTATGTGCACTTAGTTGAGTTTTGCTTACTTGAATGGACTGACATATACTTTGTTACTTCTTAATTCTTCCTCTATGACAAAAATATTTAATTTTCTTAGTAAAAATAAAATACCCAAGGATTTGAACGGAATACCCAAGAACCCAAGACCAAGTCAAAATACCCATGGTCTTGGATAAATACCCAAGCAGTGGACACACTAGTGTGGCGTTTAGTTCTGATCATTGCGGTTCGTCAGTGGCGTATCGAAGAATCTTAAAATGGGTGAGGGTGGAAGGGGTTGATGGAAAAACAATATTACCTATAAACAAATCAACCTTTTGTTAATTTGAGGAGTGGTTGAATATGCACCCGTCGTAACCCAAATGTACATGGGGGTGGGGTATGCGTTAGAGCTAAACAACAATATATAATCTCCGCCGGGCAATCGTTATATATTTTGGTGAAACTCTTTCCGCTAAGATAGGCCTAGGTCTATTTGAAAGGATTTTTTTTTTTTTTCTTTTTTGCAATCTTATATATAATTTTAATTGCAGGCCTACCGTACTCTGTCTGCACCAGCGGTCTAAACCCAAAATTGGATCGTCACAAGAAATTCTGTGTGGACGTGTCATCAGTTCAATCGTTAGTTAACTTTGGCGATTGTAATTGAACACAATACAAAAACCTACCGTCTCGACATAATTTCTGAAAAATACAAAATGTTTTCCGCGTATGTAGCCTACATAGTACGAATGCAGGACAAAAATGTATTTTTACGAGCACTGTCTTTTTGTACACTAATTTTTTATTACCCCTGTAAAGTAAAAAATGCTATTAACGAATCACAATGAACAGAGACGGAACTTGGCGGCACTGAAGTCCGTGTAAGGTACGTTAATACTGTATGCCTTAAAAAGGTGGCTATTGACGAAACACAGTGATCAGAACAATACAGGACTTAGCGGTACAGAGAGTTCTGTATGACCATGGAGGTATACAAAATGACTTCAATTATTTGCAGGACAATTGAAATAGGCCTACTTTT